GGATTGGGGCCTAGCCAGAGACAGAATTTCCCTAGGTGAAAAAAAAAGAGAGTTTTTAGTAAAGAATACCGAAAAGAAAGCAAACATTCAATACTTACCAAGGGTATTAGAGGTCCAAGGGTAAGTATTGAATGTTTGCTTTCTTTTTGGTATTGAGTCTTTACTAAAAATTCTCTTTTTTTCTCTCTTAGGGAAATCTGTATAGAGCAAAGTCTATGCACGTTCAATACCAGGGTGCTAAGTCAGACACTAGGTGGAACCAGATACTTGAAAAGATGTTTAAGCGTTCACCAGTGGCAGTGAGTGTGTTTTGGTTTCCTAGTTACTCTGCCAATACTAGTGGAGCCGTAAGATCCTGCACTCCAGGCAGTTACCAGAATCGAATCTTTGCTGACAAGATTATATGATAGACTCACTGCCCGGCCTTTACATTCTGCCTCCCGAACAGCGAAATCTTCATCTCCGTCGCCACTAGATGCTTTATATAAAGGGCCCTGTACACAAGGAAAACAAGAGATCAGCATTACAAGGCAAACAGTAGACAAACAAAGAACACTTAAGGGTGGTCCATGTGTATTTGTGTCATCTCTTTTGTCCCGTCTGTGTTCCGAATCAAGTTAAGGAGGGGGTATAAATCTTTGACGAAGACCACTGGATTATAAACCACATATCTAGAACACTGGTGAAACAACTAAAATCTACGAGGAGCACTTGAAAAATCTCACGTAACAACCCCAAAAGATGAGGAATCCATACCTGTAAAGCCAATGATGCGTCAAGCAAAGCATAAGGATGAGCTTTCACCACCAATATATTTTCACCTCTAGTTCCTTGCATCGTTGTAAATCTCCATTACCGATTCCCATTTGTAAACACTGTTGCAATATACATCCGAAGTAATCTCAGTCAGCCTCAAGGGCAGTTAAACACAAAACATCACAACGAACTAAAACATCTTCCATGACTTATAAAAATTGGACATAAAGAGGATAGTCCGTGGAAGGAATGCATTTGTATACAAGGCATCCCCGCGTCAGCATGAATAAACTATTTGATATATCAAAGGAATACCCCTGAAAAGCTTCAAATGAGCTAGTGAGCCTAGATTTGGGATCTAAAACAGCTTAATGAGAATCATTCATATCGTGTTCAAGAAACCAGAAAACCAAAATGTTACTATCTTGTAAACTTAGCATACCAGGTACAGCTTCAAGCGATAAAAAACTTATTAATTAACTGCCAGAGAAGAATGAAAAGGAGAAAGAACCATTATCCTACCTTCCAAATGGCACAACTGGGCACAGGATATAAATTGAACCATCAGTGAATAATATAAAGAACTGCACCATTGAAAGATTTGGTGAAGACATAAACATGTAATCCTCAAAGCTCTATTTGACAAGACAACTAAGCAAAATCTCTGTCAGTTTTCAAACAAGAATTTGTACTGAACTTACAGTGAATCTATCCCACAGATGATCTCCTCAGAAACTGAAATCAGCAGGATAAATTGATGAAGCTGTTCCAGATCTTCCTGGCTCACCAGATCTCCTTATAATCAGCATCTGAAGACAAATCGAATAGCCTAGCAAAAAGTTTAGCACGCAAATTACTTTTAGTAAGCCAAGAAGCTCTTAAATCAGGATTAAATGGAATGATTCGACTCCTTATAATGAGATATTGGACCAGAAGGTAACATAGTATGTCATTGCATAGCAGAAATTAAGAATCTACAGCCTTTTTTACTGAATTTCTTCTACAATTTCTTTAACATCTTTCCATAATGATATAGATCAATATATTGACATGTACATCCACCTTCATTATCAACCAAAAAGATTGTTACCTGAAAACTGCATCCGAGGATAGAATTTCCAAATGGGTGTCACTATCAGGGTGCCACAATGCTTGTAGCAAGTTTATGGCATTGTCACCACTAGTATAGATTTCTGAACCAATAGAAACTACCCTGCAACCCATAGATTATGAAGTGATAACGTATAAGCAGAGAGGCCATCAATTTAAGCTAGGTAACATCATAATCAAGAATATAAATGCATCTTATAAGGGCAACGTTAATCACTACCTGCAAATGATATTGTATTCTACCACAGAAGCACGTCCAAATAGGTACATCACACATATTCCATCTGAGCCGGCAAGAAGTACAGCTGATCCAGACTTATTAATGGAGATTTTGCTAACAGAAAATGTCAGTTGAAGGTCTGGTTGCATCACCTATAATATCATTTTTTACTAAAACTTAGTCAATCACGAAAATAGCAGAACCTTGGACATTCCTTACCAGCAATGTACAAGTACATCAGACCAAACAATCACATTATTTCTTGATCATTTTTCTCCAGTAGCTCCAACCAATAAAACTTAAAAGAACACAACTAAGACAACTCTTTCAAATCCTTACAATTAGAAGGATAATCACCTATAGCGATCGGTCCCCAAGCTTTTTATTCAAACAATCATCATCTTATTGCACATGCCATAAAAAAAGACACTTCCACATTTTATCACTAAAATTCATCTGTGTAGCAGACCACAGAGGAAAACTATAGGTTTTTGACACTAATACATAGCAAGAAGAAAAGATCTTCCTATCATCCATCAGTAAGAAATCTAATTTCTCAAACTCTTCCTAAACCTAATTTCTCAAAGTCAGTAAAATGTCAGCAACAATCGCACTAAGAAATCCGTTTCCGCTTTCGATAAATCTTCTTCTCAATACTCATTTTGGCCGAATTAGCGGTGAAAACAGAAAGAGGGAGTAAATGACCTTGGACGGGACTGCGGCGAGGACGGATGATGGTTCAGGCTCACCCAAGCGCAGAGATAATCGGTGAAGGAGATATCGTTTAGAATCCCAGTAGTATAGGCGCCAGTCTCCGTCCCAAGCCATCAAATTTCTCGGAAAACGCTGCGACGCGGCGAGTTCATCCTGGGAGGATGGAAGAGAAGCGAAAACCGGGTGGCTCTGGAGAGGAACCCACCGAACCGGCTCTTTAGGCATCGGATATCGCCGTGAATCTGGCGTATCCTCTGGCTCCTAGAAGTTAAATTTCATACTCTCTCTCTCTCTCTCACTCACTGTATATGTGTTCGTCGGCCAGGGCGTAGATGTAGAAGAGCAGGAAGAGAACAGAGAGAAGAAGCAGATACAGTTGAGACTTTTAATGGGCTTTTCTTCGGCCCATTAAATTTCTCTGAAATAAAGTGTGCTGTCTTATAAAAAAACTGAAATAAAGGACTTATTTTAAAATAATATACAAAAATTGAATCTGAACCCTAAAACTTAATTTTTATTGTACCTTGAGGTTCAAGCTAATGCATAAGGTCATGTTAATTAGTTTTGGATTCTGAACAAACATGGTGGATTATTGGGGAATTGAGTTGAAAATAGGTTTGAGAGCGTAAGGGATACTCAAGGTTTTTTTGGTTTGATTCGTTCATAATTCATTGTTTATCATTGACAAGCAGAAGCTGAATTCAGTTTTCAACTCTATCATGTCAGTCTTCTGTTTCTGAATCCTGATGATTTTGTATCTGCAAAGGCACACGATATGGCGCCAGTGTTAGGAAACAGATCAAAAAGATGGAAGTGAGCCAGCACAGTAAATACTTCTGCGAGTTCTGCAGAAAGGTACTCTCTCTTATGATCACAAATTTCATAAGCTTGATGGTGCTCTCCTGGTTTCTTTGATTTGATAATATGCTTTGATTTGTAATCTGCAGTACGCTGTGAAGAGAAAGGCTCTTGGTATTTGGGGTTGCAAATACTAATAAACCTCTAAAACACTGTCACACTTATCCAAAAAAAAACTAGTAAACCTCTAAAAGGCACATATGAAGGAAATAAGATCAGCAGCCTCCCCTCTATAGTTTTTCTCTATATTTACATAAATCTCCCAAAAAGATCTCTAAACCTGTACACTACCAAAAGGCCAAAACCCTCTCCACGAAATCGGGATCCTCAGTAGTCGAGCAGAGTATCGTCTTCCCTGTTTGAATGAAAGTAAAGGTGAGACCACAAGAGCCAAGAACAAGGGATATGGTAATGTTGTATTATTCAGAGCTTATGTATTAACTCATACCAAAACTCATTTTCGAAATGATCAGATGAATCATAGTCCTCCTCCTCTTCATAATGAACGTAGCTCTCATAGAACTGTAAAGTAGTCGGAAAATGAAATGAAACATAGTGACAACTGATTATGCAAAAGACGGAAACACAGACAATGCTTCTTGGTTTTGTAAAATAAAAAACACAATGACTCTGACCTTGTCATATCTCCCAACAGTTTTCGAATCTGCCTCATCATCTGCCTGCAAATTGGTCATCACAGTTTTTAACAGTTTCAAAGGAAATCAAATGCAGATGAAGCAACTCTTTTTCGAATAATTATAAATTGAGTAATAACTCCATAGAATCTTCCAATGTATCAATTTATGATCCAGGGATATAATCGACCTTATCAATACTTTTAGCTTCTTCGTTTAACTTTCTGCTGTGTGCCAAATCAACCTCCATAGCACGGGCATTGAATGGTTTTTGGTCCTGGATACAAGCAACAATAATACAAAAATCCAGCTTATAAAACATGGTTAGCAGTAGAAATAAGAAGCTTTTTGAGTACTTTAAGAACAAACTGATACCTCTGGTAACATGTTCTTCCATACATTGAAACATATTCTGCTAGCATCCACCAAGTTTCCATTGTACTTTTCCCTAAAATCCTCTCTAGAGAAAGAAGAAACAATAATAGTTACTGAAGATTTAAATCACTAACTACTCAGATTTCACTTCTCACTATCAATTTCCCCACGTTTATTGCATCACAGCACCAAGAAGGCAAGAACCAACAAAAGGATCAACCTTTCACTTAAAAGGAAAGACATTGACCATATGAAGTAACATCATCACTCCCTTTTTAGACCTAAAGCATTCAAATTCTTAAACCCACTCAAAATCCACTTTTTATCTCCATCTAATTCACCCAAGAAATTGAACACAATTGCATTAAGAAACAGAGTAAAAGTCTTTGGTTACTGTACAAGAAGAAGACAAATGGTGATCTGGGTTCATCTTCAAAGCTCCCAATTGGTTTCGAGATATTAATGACATTGCCACTGGCAATGTACTTGAATCTCTTCACTTCCCTTCTCTTCTCACCGCACTCATGCATATCAAACAGACCAATCGCTATCATAACACCACATTCTTCACTGTAATAAAATCCCAAAACAGAGTACATCACGAATCTAGATAAAACCCTAAAGAAATCTGAATCGACGAATCCAAAAACTTAACAAAAAGAGAAATACCATTTTTTAAAAGCGCTTCCATCAGCAGCACGACGAACTGCTTGAACCCTTTTACGAGTTCTCGGCCGAATCGCCATTAATGCGCATCAAAGATTTTTTCTATTTCTGACAGAGAATAAAAAGAGGTTTAACCTTTTTGTTTCTTTACTGTGTTGTGTGCACGAGAACTCAACAGGCATCGGATCGCTTACGTGTCAACTGCACATTTTAGCGTTAGTGGATTTTCTGCTAACGTGCGCTTAACAAATAACACGCGGGACATAACTGGCGCGTAATCAAAACAGAGGAAATCTCTCTCCCGCTTCCAGGATTAATTATTTATTATAACCAATATAATTTAGACACGTAACCACGCGGGGAATATGCGAATATAACACTTCATAATTGGGCAGATATATAAGCTAATTTCATTGGATTTTAATGCGAAAATAAAATACACACTTCAACACAAAGCAAGAAAAGGAACAAAAAAAAAAAAAAAAAGACATTAAATGGGATCTTCGAAATTTTTGGAGAAGATCAATCTTATTCTCACCAACTCAAATAACAAAATAAAAAATCCAATAGGAAAAGAACACGTGGAGGAGATTTGAATCAGTTGGTCCTCCCGCAAACCTTGCGGATTTCACCGCTACTACCAGTCAACGGGCTGATATCACCCATCTTGATCATCGCCGCCGCGAAGTCAGAGTTAAAGCTCGATGGATTGTTGCTGTATCCACGGACAATGGAGTCAGTGGAGCCTCCGTTGAAGAGCACTTGGTCGGAATGGAGGAGACCTCTCTGAGTCATGAGATTCTTGAAGTAGTTGTTGTCGAAGGAAGCCGCCGTGGTGACGTCTAGTGGAGCTAGGTTTCCGTCGCCGGAACCGGTGGCTCTAGGGCAAGTTCGTTGACGTGTGGTGGCGAAGGCGGCGTTGATGTTTGTCTCGTTGTAGATTCTCGCTCGGAAGTTCGTGCAACGGGATTGTCCGATCGTGTGTGCGCCTGAAAACAAAAACAAAAAAGTTTGAATGATTAGTTTAATAGTTGACTTAATTATTTTAAGGATCATCTGAATTACTTTGTCGGTGTTGCGTAACAGTAATTTATATGATTACGTAATTTTGGGAAAAAATATGATTACGTAATTTTGTTTGGGAAAAAAAAAAAACAGAAAAGTCGGTGGTGCGTTACAAAAATGTGTTGAAAAAAAGTCGACAAAAACAAACAACACAATCAAATTATATTATTTTGTGTCGACTCTGTTGACTGTTGTGTTGGTCCTTTGAAATATTTCTTTTTATGTTTCTTTTTGTTAAACAAATTGGTGAACGAATAAAATTTAAGAAATATTCACAGATTAAGAAATAATTTTTGTCACCAATTTTTAGCAATCTATTAGTAATCGATGTTTGAAAAATTGCAATCAACCTTAATCTGTGATACATATATAGTTGCGTAAATAATAAATGGGAATTGGGTTAAGCAAGAAGAGAAGTGAAACGAACCGGAGAGAGCAACCATATCTCTGGTGGAGAGTCCAACAGCACTGAAACTACTAATGAGTTGGCTCAGACTCGAAGTCGGGGCCGGAATGTTACTATTCGCTGCCGCTTGACTCGCCGTTCTTGCATCTCTTCTTCCTACTTTAACATTCCAATTCGGCCCTCCAAGCTTCAACAAAATAGAGACAAATTCATGTTTTAGACCGGTTTAATCTTTTAAATTTTCAAAACCAGACTAAGAGAGGAAATAGGGAGCTTACGACTACGACGGAGTCTCTAGCTGCAATGGCTAAGATATCAGCACAAGACACAACCCCGGGACATGCTTTCTCAACCGCTGATTTGATGTTGTCGATCACATTAAACCCACGAGCTGAATTGCGGTTTGGGGCCGCGTTTTGTTCTCCTGTGAAGCTCGACGTGTCATCTAGCAGAATCGAACCGTCACATCCCTATATATGTAAGCATGACAGTGGTTAGAAGTAAAGAACCAAAATAAAAATTATGCTAAGTTTCTTGAGATGCAAGGAAAACAAAAAAAAGGTAAAAGAAAAAAAAACTACGTTGACGAAGCAATCGTGGAAGAAGAGACGGAGGATAGATGCACCCATTCGAGCCTCGCTGTTAACGGCAGATTTAACGGCGCTTTGGACGGTGGAGAGGAGGTTAGGGCAAGAGGTTGAGTAGAAATTAGTCGTGAGTTGTGCTTCGACGACGTTATTGTTATTACCTTGGAGTAAAAGTGTAAGTACGAGAACTAGAATAGCAGTAAGTTGATTTGAAGCCATTGTAGGTTAAAACAAAGACTTGAATATAATAGACTTAGAGTTGATTATTGTACTTGAAGAACAAAGCATAACAGAATCGAGGTTTATATAGAGACGTGAAGGATGTTCTAAAGTGAAAGATAGGTGACCTAACGCGTTGAAAAAATGTGTAACTCTGTTATTTCTTTTGGTTTTTAGGGTTGAATTATCATTTTTGCATGGAATTGATTTTGTAACTATCTACGTCGGAGAGAGAAGTAAAAACCAAATTTATCAGCGATAATATTATTTTCCCAAATGTCAAGTAAATAGTATAGCCATCAAACTAATTAGCCGAAGTCTCAAAATAGTTGACTTTGAATATGGGTGAGAAAATAAGAGATTAATGGGGTTCAAAAATAAAACAGATGAGTGTTTATTCTTTGGTGGTCGTGATAAGCGTGACACTGTTACAGAATAAATTGTTTGTGCTAAATATAATTAGCTCGTCTAATACTATAGACAAGACCCGATTTTACATTAGATGGAAATATATCGAATTTTTGTTGGATATATATTACATGAATGATTAAGAGAGATTCTGCGAAAATTCACACACACCTGGTTGTAAATTGATGAGATTGTGTATATATGAAGTTATAAACTAATTAAGCAGAGAGAAAACAAATTCCTTTAAACAATGCTTTCAGATATTTTTAGTTGATATCGTTGTGATTGTTTGAATATTTGTAATTTTTTTAATGTTTTTTTTTTTGAATATTTTTAATATTGTGTTCTTTTTTCTTGCTAACATCAAATATTAATTGTTTAACCATCTTACTGATTTTTTTTTTTTTTTGTCGTCTAGATTTATTATTAATTGCAAATTATGAGAACTGTTACATAGATGATTCTACAACTGACAATTCTTTCCGACCCTTACTAGATTCACGACAGACTACACTTCATTCTTCGTAATCTTGATGAAAACCTTCAATGATCCACGACCTGGCGACACTTCCTTCTCTGCGTAGAATCTTGGCGAACGGCTATAATTGTACATCGCTGGAGATCTCTTGCACACTTGCCTCCATTAATCTGCAAATTTGTTAATAAATCGCAATATCTGGGACTCGAACCCCAGACCTTTTGGTGTAGAAGCATTAATCAACCCTTTGTCAACCAATGAGCCAAGGAGGCTTCCACAACCATCTTACTGATTAGTTAATGAGTCGATACATATTAATAATTTGTCTTTTACCAGCATATAATAAGGTAACTATTTGGAAACGCATCTTCTTTAAGATGGATCTACACATATGTCGAAATCTGTTTTATTTTTGGTCCAAAATCTGTCTATCTCAAATGTTTTCAAACTTCAAAAAAGCAGAACGCGCGATAAGGTTTTAGAGATTTTCGATGTCCAAAAAAAACGTTTTTACAAAAATTTAATCACGATAATCAATCAAAAATTCAAAATCATGATTGATCTTTGAAAATACATGCCACTAAAACTGTAGTACTTCCGATTCTAAAAATGGCAGCAAATAGAAGAACAATAAAAATCATCAATCGCGCGTGTTTAACTCATAGAGTCATGGTAATTGAAGATGGATTTTTACTGTTTAGTAAGTGACAACTAAATACAATAAAAAAATATATCATGATACAGTGTATTGTCCTTGCACAAAAAAAAAAAGAAAGATAGAGTCAATTGTCAACTGAATTTATTTTTTTCTACATTTTTGAATATCAAACTTCTATTTAAACAAAGTTGAAATTGACGTATTATTTTTGAACATATATACAATCAATATTTATATTATTTTATTTTATATTTTACTGAAAATACCGTATCTGTTTGTGATTTATATACATTTAATTCAGATAAATAAGCCATGATATATTTGTTTTCAAAAAGTTTTGGATCTAGATCCATATATAATCTCTTCATGCTCGGGGTAGAGAATATGTAAGCATGTTGAAATAGTCATTTTCTTATCGTAGATGTTGGGACATGAAATTTTGAAGACTCCTTTTTTTGGTAGCTAACTAGCTAGTGTATGCCGGAAGAAATAGTATTTAATTTCTTTTTGTTTAATTAGCAGTGGGCGTCTAAGACCAAGCGCAGTGGCGCATGTAGGCGTCGGATGTATGTAATTTAATATAGAAAAATAATGCAAAAAGTGGCTTTTCAACAACACCCACATGTAGAGTTGCATTCGGGTGTGGGCATTATAAAAAGGGAAAAAAAAAATTTTGTCTCTATCTCTCTCTTTTCTCTCTCTCTAAATATAATACTAAAAACTTATTTACATCTATACTAACACATTCACCACTGTGGGTGCTCTAAGTCAGTCTTAGCACCCGACTAATCGTGGAAGGTGATAGCAAACAGCTTGTCTGAATCCCTGAATACCTAAGAGCAACCCCATTGATGGTTTTTAAACATAAGTCTCTTATTTTAGAGAGAAAAAATATATTAATAAAAAAATGTGTGGGTTTCTTAAATAGTGAAGAAACCCTCTACAAAGTATGTCAAAGTACCTTATATAAGAAATTTTAGAGAGTGTTTCTTCACTATTCAAGAAACCCACACAATTAAATAATTATACTTTTGTTGTCTTAATGTTAAGAGACTTAGTTAAAAAAAACACTCATTGGGTTGCTCTAATGGTCCACACACATATCAATGTTGCGCCAATAAATTGCAACCCAAAAAGCAGAACAAATTTACGCTTTGATCCCTAGATTCTCAGTCTCCAGTCTTTACCCTTACGCCATCCCTAGCTACATGGGTTTATCACTTGGTGCTTTTCGTATGTTTTTACACGCTGATTTTGATGCCATAACTAATTCTTGTTATCTTCTAGGTTAGAAGTCGTAATAATAAATAATAATGTTCAAAGTCGCCATATACAGTTATATATTATGGATTAGACATACATCTTTTTCAGCATATATACCACGAGAAAATATAGAAGAGTTTGTTAGAGAGAGTTGTCAAGAATAGTGGCCTCCTAATTATTTAACTAATACTTTGGACCAAACATTTGATTTTATGGAAAGATAGATTACATCACAAGATTTGTTAAATTTTTTATCTTTTCCAATATATTCCCAGCAACTCTTTATGTTCTTGACTTCTATTTGAAGAAATATAGCATTTCATATTTACATCAAGTTTACACTGTAGGTTTTCTTCTCTATTTTTTTTTCTGCTCACACTAATATACGATCGCTTTGAAGCGATTAATTAGATTAATAAATTGTTCATTTAGTATGTCATAATCCATTACGGCAGACTGGATTATCCATGTATGGATAGTTAAAAACTTCCAATTATAAAGCCATAGAGGTTAGGTATACAAAATTATCAAGTACATAGATAATAGATTTAATCTCGCACAGCCATTTTGTTATCCATTTATGAACTAACTATTTTCAAATTTTATTTTAATGTATACTAATCGAGTGTGAAGATCTTTCTCGTAAAACGAATTATATGTTTAAATATTTGGATTAAAGACTAATTATAAAACAATAATTAAGGGAAGAAGAAGTCACATACTTTTATAACACTATACGCGGCTTTTACTTTTACAGGATTACTTTCCAAAGGAGGCACGATGGTCACTTTCAAGATTACTATATGAGTTACATACAAAATCAAACTTAGTGGAATTAAAAAAAAAAAAAAAAAAGAAGTTAGATACCTTCTCCGGTCTCACTTTCACACCAACCTATAATTAACTTACTAATCAAACCCTCTTTAATAATCTATATATAGAAGAAACAGGCTTCTAGATACTTACTTAACTTAAGTTACTTTAAATTACAGGAATGTTCATTGGATGTGAAGTTTAATGAATATTATTTAGCCACTTTAAGCCTTTAAGCAAATGCTTGTTTAAGCTGACTAGGAACTTTCCATATTTTTATTTGTTATTGAGCCATTTCAAAAAATCATAATTATGCTCTTCATAAAACCACAAGATTACAATCACGTTTATTAACATTTTTATAGAATCTCAAGAACATTTGATTTCGTGAAAATCTCTCATATTTTCTTTATAAGTTAAATTTTTTTTTATCACACTAAATTATATACATTTGGTAATCCTTATTGTCAAATGTCAATGCCACCACTATATATGTGAATTTACTTTATATATATACAAGGTAGGCTTGGGCACGAAGCGGATATCCGGAAAATTTGGGATATTCGTTATTCGATTCGATTTAACCGAATACTTGATTTTGTGATTTGCTTTGATCCAAAAATTTCCGGATATTCGGAATATCGAATATCCGGATTTTTTTGTGATATTTGCGGATATCCGCTTCGATACTTCTGTACTTATTAAAACCCTAAAAACCTAAGCGCTCGCATTTAAAACTACGAAGAAAAATAGAAAATTTGGGAAAAAGAAGTCGTCACAGGATTTCAACTTCTTATTTTTAAGGGATATTGATTTTTTTTAAAAATAAATTTCACTTCACTAATAAAAACTATTAAATTGTGTCACAAATACAAGTCTGAAAAATAAAAAACTGAGTTTACAAATACAAGCCAAAAATATATTACGATGTACATATATATATATATATATATATATTTCTAATATATATCAAAAAATACGGATCGAATCGGATATCCGACTTTTAAAAAAACAATATTTGCTATTTGCTTCGGTTTTTACGAATACTACATTTTTCTATTTGATTTTCTCCAAAATATTACGGATATTCGGATTTTTCGAATCGAATCAAAACGAATACCGAGTCAACGCGGATCGAATATTTTGCCCAGGCCTTACAAGGAACAAGATAATAAATGGGTTGAACCAAAAGGGGTCACCTCAATTGGTAAACAACTTCAAAATTAAGAAAAGATATGAACCTCCTTGTCGGAGTCAAGAATTGGAAAAAGTTGTTAATGTGAGTAATTGCTAGAAAGAATTTTTAAACACTCTTTGCAGCATATATTGAAGATTATTATTTGAACCGTTAATTACATAGAAAATGCCAAAGAAGCTAGATTAGTCACCCCATGACATGATGGGACAATTTTAAATACAGAATATTACCAACAAGAAAATAAGAAAGTTAATCGTAAACGTAAGTAATCCACATGTGACGTATCTTAGTCTCGATTCAAAGGCGAATGAAATAAAATTTGATTTGACAACGATAGTCGCCTCTTCAGAGTTCTAGTTTTGAGTTTGATTGAGGAAAGACCGAAATGAAGTGTTTACATAGCAGTTTGGGTAAACCGCCTGAGATTTGAATATAATGTTATGTTTGAAGAGTGCTTTTTGTGGTAGTGAATTATGAAATATATAAAAATGATTAAGAGTTTGGTTGTTGTCATTGCATCGTTTATTTGCATCCTAGGTTTGCATTTAAATGTAGAATATTTATATTCATGTATACATTTACAATCATAATATAATAATAACATTAGCATGTATATTATAACACAATCATTTATAAATTAAATAAAAATCACGATCATAAATAATATGATAATTCTGATAGTGGTTTGGCTCCAATAGCTTCTACGTGTAAAGGTATCTCAAGTCTTGAGATTCCTAAGCTTTCTAATTATGTAACATTTTCGAAACCGGACAAGGTCAACCATATTTGTCGTCTTCCATTATTTTAGTCAAAAGATTACAAAAAAATAAGAAATTAAGAAACTAAACTAGGTGACATCATTGATATTTGACTCAATGCATGCCTAATATGTTTCTATATTATAGCTTTGGATATGAATGTTTGACTGTAGAACCAAGATGCTGCAAATTCTTTGATACACACACGTATAATTATTACTATATCAACGTAACACTTCGGTGGGACGAAGCTAAAACACTTTTGGATTTTGGTGGGGTGGGTGGAGTAAAATAACAATACGAAACAATACAAAAGCTGCAGTCACTGACAACATACGAGTCAAAAATTCATATCGTGTAGAGCGCCAATTCATGAGTATGAATGCCACGAAATAGTTGAGGTTTTCAACTTTATTTTACCGTTTAATAATCGATTTAAACACTAAAATCATGCTTCACAACAACAACAAAAAAAAAAAAAAAAAGTGGGTCTGTGGATACGTATCCTATTTTTTTCAAGAATTTGTTTTTGAAAAAATGATATTTATGAAAGAAACAAATCGAGATTTTTAGCACTATAGCAGTTGGAAGTAAATTGAAATTGGTGTTCCTTTACTCGAATTATTTATACATATACACTATCAATTTATTTACAAATTTTGGCACAATTTTCATTCGAAAAAAAAAAACAAATTTTGGCACAATATCAAAGCTGCGACGACCATGACATGGATTTTTAATAGTTTGTGCTAATTTTATTCTTATAACACCATTTGAAATCGTCTACATGTTATTGAGAAAACAAAAAGAGACAATATAAAGTACAACAACAATGTTAAATGCTAATCAGAATTGTTTGAGTGGACTGTAATATTGTTTTCGTTCTCGACATTTAGGTGTGTGAGGTTTGAAACTGAAAGTCCCCTTAAAAAACCATTCAGACGCGTCTCCTTGTTGAACCATAGTCTCTAGATTCTTAATTAGTGTGACATAAATTTTTATGCAAAAATGTTAATGGGTCGGGTTTAAGTTTTGAATATGGGCCTAACTAATATGGGTCTCCTTTTAATTTGATGTCTTGTGGGCTAAAACTCTAATTCAGATTATTGAATTGAATCCATCTCTAAACAGTCTAAAGTCCACACATTGTAGTAGTTTTTTGAAATTTTAACTTTTTACGTTTTGAAAACTCATACAACACTTGAAACTTCCAATATTTGTTCAAACATTCATATTGGGAATCAATGAATGACTAACGTATGTTACATATGTCAGAAAACTTGTAATTAACTAGATAATTATCAATTGATAGTTAATTAGTTATTTTTGCGTATGTTACATACTTACATTCATTATTAGGACACATAATGAATGACTAAGAATGTTTTTTTTTTGCGTTAACTTATTACTCCCTCCGTTTTAATTTAGTTGTCGTTTTAGGATTTAAATTTTGTTTCATAATAGTTGTCGTTTTAGGTTTTCAATGCAAATGTTTGGTAAAAATTCCAGTTTTATTCCTATTGTTTTAATATTTTGGCCAATGAAATTTTTTATAAAATATATTAATATAGGGTAAAACAGAAAATTTAATGTTTTTCTTAATTTATGTGCAAAAACTTTAAACGACAACTAAAACGAAACGGATGGAGTATGTCTTAGATTAATAAGTTATTTAATAGTTTAATTAAAAAATATAATGGTGGCATGGCCCTGACCGGCATGTTAATAGTTTCGAGGAGGCAGAAGTAGAAACCGCTCGCTCTTCTCTACCAAAAACTTTTTCTTCTTCCTCTTTCTTCGATGTCTCTCATCAGTTACCAATCACAATCTCTTGCTTTAAATTGATCCTTCTTTCTCTGTGTAATTCTCCACTGAATTCAACTTTAGTTCGTCTCTTTCCTTCTGGGTTTCTCTGCAATTCCAATTCTGGGCATGTAATTCGAAGATTTTTCCCTCTTTAGTTTTCAATCTTCTTTTGTCAAAGTTGAAGACTTTGTTCGTTTTGAATCTGTCCGCTAGTAGAATCTTCTTCTTTGAATCGCTTTCATATCTCTGCTTTACGGGTTTTCACACTTTTGCCAGCAATGTCTAAGCTTCCAAGCACATGCCTTTGACTAACTTTTCCCGGTAAAGGATTTGCTTTTACTTCTTTTTTCCTGGCACGAGAAAATGGGCTCAACTGATGAGGTTGAGAAATCTAAGACTAGGGTTTCATGTCCTCCTGCTCTCTCAACATCTCATAAGATTCTTATCAGTGAAGAGAAACCTAGGAGATGGTCGGAGAGTTCGTTGCCTGATGTCTCTAATAGGATTAAGCTTTTGAAATTTGGTTCCGCTTCTGCTAGATTCAAGAGAATGGCAGAGGAAAGAGATGAGGTTTCACGCTCTGTTAACAGCTCAAGCAGCCACAATTTCCGGGAAAGAATCAGTGTGGTGTTTTCCCGGAAAATTGAGTGGGCTTGCTTGATGAAAATGGGTAAGCAATGGCTACAAAACCCGTTGAACATGGTTCTTTTCTTGTGGATACTTGTGGTTGCTGTCTCTGGTGCGATTCTGTTCATGGTTATGACCGGCATGTTGAACCATGCTTTGCCCAAGAAATCACAGAGAGATGTTTGGTTTGAAGTTAACAATCAAATCCTCAACGCTATGTTTACTCTCATGTGTTTGTATCAACACCCGAAACGGTTTTACCACCTTGTGCTTCTCTGTAGATGGAGGCAAGACGATGTTACAACGCTTAGGAAGATTTACTGCGAGAACGGGACTTACAAGCCAAACGAATGGATCCACATGATGGTTGTTGTTCTTTTGCTTCACTTGAACTGTTTTGCTCAGTATGCGCTTTGCGGTCTTAACTTAGGGTATAGAAGATCCGAGAGACCTGCAATTGGTGTAGCTATATGTATATCTATTGCAATAGCAGCTCCTGCGAGTGCGGGTTTGTACACTATTCTTAGTCCACTTGGGAAAGATTATGATCCTCAAGGAGATGAGGAGAATCAAGTGGAGCCTGTGGAAGAAGGATCCGTTACTAATCACAAGTTATCTCTTGAAAGGAGATATTCATTTGCTTCTGCAGATGTGAGTAATCCTGAATGGAGAGGTGGAGTTCTTGATATATGGGAAGATATTTCATTGGCTTATCTCTCTCTGTTCTGCACTTTCTGTGTGTTTGGTTGGAACATGGAGAGGATTGGGTTTGGGAACATGTATGTGCACATTGCGACTTTTATTCTCTTCTGTTTGGCTCCTTTCTTTATATTCAACTTGGCTGCTATAAACATCGATAACGAGATGGTAAGGGAAGCACTTGGATATACCGGAATTGTGCTTTGCTTGTTTGGTTTGCTCTATGGTGGTTTTTGGAGAATACAGATGAGGAAAAGATTCAAGTTGCCGGGCTATAACTTCTGTTGCGGGAGACCTGCGATTGCTGATTGTACACTCTGGTTATTCTGTTGCTGGTGCTCTTTAGCTCAAGAAGTCCGGACCGCGAATTCTTATGAAATAGTGGAGGATAAATTCTGCAAAAGAAGTGAAGAAAATAGTAAGATTGATGATGAGGTTGTGGTATCTTCATTGCCTCGTGATGACGGTGTGTTTGATCCGAGTTGCTCGCCTAAGAAGATGACCACGGCGATAGCTAGCTCGTCTCTTAGCCCGAGCAGACAGAAATATGAAACTTGCTTGGGAGATAAAAGTGATGAAGCTCTAAGTCCACCTTCTCCTCCATTCATACACAGAAGCTAGTTAGAACTTAGAACTAACAGTTATTAATCAAAGTTTGTTTCAAAAAATTTCAGGTTTAGAAAAATATTAAACAATGTAAAACCAGATCTACTATGGATCTGTTTATACGGTTCAGGTATATCTATATTTAATTGGAACTAAAGTTTAAATTCGTCTTGGAGTTTATGAAATTCACGAATTATAAACCATGTAAAACAATTCTAGTTTTGTTTGAAATTTCAGTCAGAGAATTATGTTTCTTCTCATCATCTCATGTGAGTTTTTACCATAAACGTTTTTTTTTTTGTTTCTTCTACGATGAACCACATTACATTGATTTGGACCTTAAAGTGAATTTAAAAAACAACAATAGTTTACTTCATGCTGCTTGATAGGCTTCCTACCATGTCTCGCCTTGCTTCTTGGGGGTTACAAACGTCTACTTCCTGCTGCTTGTGTTCTGGTTCTGTGGAAACCAGAGACCATCTTTTCATTGGTTGTCCATTCTCTCAAGTCCTCTGGGACTCAGTTACGATCAGACTAGGCCTCCCTGCAACTATCTTTTCCACGTGGGACTCTTGATGGAGTGGTCAAAGTCAGAAATAGGTACTCTCCACCAAGGTGCCAACGCTTCGATTGTTGCTGGTTCATGCAGTGGTTTACAGTGTATGGATGCAAAGAAACAACTTCATTCATAACTACATTGCTATTCCTCCGGCTACTATCTTTAAAGATATTGACCGGCAAGTTGTAAACTCAATCTCAACTCGTAAGAAGATGAACAAATTCAGGAATCTTATGTCACTTTGGCTTCATTTTTCCTAAATCTTGTGAATGCGTTATTGTCTCCTTATTTTTTATTTCTTTTTTGGCAAGGTTTCAAATGTATAGTTCTTCTCTTGTAACACCTAACTTTCATCTTAATTATATTTACATTCTTAACAAAAAAATAATAATAACAACAACAATAGTTGCTGTTTTTGCATTATGAATTTTTCATCCGACTTACGATTTCTTCGAATGTACTCAACTCATCGCAGTGCTCAGAGCATTCGATCAAATCAAACATCTCTTCAATGTTGGTTATGTATTAACAAACTTGTATACAAACAAATAGGTTCTAACCTGCGGTATCCGTATAAACAATTAAGAACAAAAAACAGTAAAACGTATAAAAAACATCAATTTTCCATTTTCTCTTTAGTCCTTTATCGTTGTCTATTTTTCCTTTTAACCCGAATTATATTTCCGTCTTAAAATACAATCATGTCAATTAGGGCCCAAGCAAAGTTTGTTGGTTTTCCTAAATTATGTAACTTAACATTCTTTTTTTCTTTTTTTTCTTTTTTTTTTCTTTTTTTGTCTCAAGAGATTTGAGAGATTTGAGAGAAAACGATTTGACTTCTGAAATCAAGTTAGGGTTTTCTCTTTCTTTGTTGCCCTAGCAGAAACCGATTCTCACGAGGAGCCGCCTCTGCTTTATAGTTGTATACCGAGCCATAAAACCTAAGGAAAACAAAAGCTTAAGAGAAACACATGGAGGAAAAGGGCACCCAAGATGGCCCAAAACCGTCACAGGATTCTGGCTTGCACAGGCTTTACTTCAAGGGTTTGACAAGGGAGGAAACAAGAGGGCTGGTGGCAGGATTTGGGGTTGCAATTTGCGGCCAAGAGGATAATATCTTGTTTCAGATGAAAGGATCAATTCATGACTCCGAGATTACGGCTTTGGAGGCTGAGCTTATGGCATTGAAACGAGGACTAACCGAAGCCGTGAGTTTGGGGATCACTCATATCTCAATCTACTGCGATCATTATCACATTTTTAAACTTGTAAGTTTTCTTTCCTTTAAGATATTCACATTTGTCCTCACTTTCTTCAATATCGTAATGGACGTTTTACCCTTGATCATGTTTTTAGGTCACGGGGAGTTCCGGGCCTGAGAAAGATAGCATTGCCTTGCTAATGAATGATGTGCAACGCACCAGACAACAACTGACATCTAGCACCCCTCTTCTGGTGACTGGAGATCAAACTAATAAGGTTGCTTATAAACTTGCATCGGAAACACTCGTTTCTGAAATCAGCATAAGTATGCCTCCTTGTCATAAGAAGAACACTTTTTGCGGTATCTGTTTCGATGATGATCTCGAAGCTGAACAGATGTTTTCTGTTGCTTTATGCGGTCATAAATTCTGCTTGGAGTGCCTCAAACTACATATACAAGTTGAACTAATGGAGAGAGTACCGAGATGTCCTCGTTACGGCTGCAAATCGAAACTGAATATTGAAAGCTGTGCCCATCTTTTGACACCTAAACTAAGAGCCATGTGGGAACAAAGGATCGAAGAGACAACTGTAACAGATTGGGCAATGTGGGCAAAGTGCCAACAAATGGCTGGAGTAGCTCATGGGTTTTGCCAAATAAGTTGCAAGTATCATCTCTAGTCTCATTATTCTCTAGCTAGATATTACAACTAATCCTTCTCGAGTTTTATTATGTCTTAGCCTCCTAATTAACATTGTAATTTCATGATTGATTGATAGATGTGGGTACTCCTTTTGCTACATATGTGGAGCCGAATGGAAGCTGCTAGGAGCCGGTTGCATTCATCGCAACAAAGAGATGTGTACAATCATTAGTTGCATAGTTATATGTTATGGAATTTTGGTATGTTTTCTGTTTATTATGAGTTTATTCAAGTTGATTGATTACTCATAACGCTTGTAAGCGGGTTTACTTGTTTGATGCTTATTTGTTTTCAAGATTTTTGGATTATGTTGTAAGATACACAATGGTTTACCTGTCTATTTCCAAAATCAACAACCGTCTTGATCAAGTATATCCGTATGTATCTATCTTCTTATATCTAATAGATATACGACGATGGAGTCTCGTAAAACAGTAAGAAAGTTTGAGGATACACACACACATGTGGAGTGTTATGATCGAATTTTATTGTTTTTTTTTCGCTCACACATCATACTTTAAAAATCGTTTCATTCCATTGGAGTCGCATATTTTCTCTCTGTATCCCTCAAAAGATAATCGCACCCGCTTTGTAAATATCCGATCTTTTTTTTCCCGCTTATCCGCCCCCTAAGTGATTTTATACAAGATAGTCAATGTTTAGAGGTATAAGATTAAGAATAGCGACAAGTTTAACAACATGAAACTCTACGCCATGTTGATATAAAACTATCGTCGGCATTGACTCTTGACACAAGCGGAGACTTTTTACTACGGTTTCTAACTGAGGTATACAGTATTCCCATATATTCCTGCCAAGAACAGCAATAGCTCTTGACTTCCTCTGCCTTTTGGACTTCATATGTAATTGCTACATACATTCTCCGCTTTAAGTTTAATAATCAAAATTTTTCTAATTTGCTTTTGAATTTAGCCATAGTTTTACTTAGCCGCCTGAGACAGTAGTTATTAGGAAGAAATAACATTTTGTGCTTTGGAGGATTTTTACTTAATAATAATTAGTTACCAATGTTCTGTAGTTGGTACTTCGGTTGTGTGTGCTTCCGCTTAGAATCTAACTTTTACGTTCTAGATGCGTAGGCTGGTAATCTTAGCTTCTCTTTGTCTCCGTTGAACCATGATATGAAACATTTGATGCTTCAAATTCAATAAACGAGAAATTAAACAATTTAGAAGTTTTCTTTGTATCGGGTTGACTCGATCCAGAAACTTTGTATCGGGTTTTCTTTAACACGTACGTGAGCTTCTCTTCTCTTCATGTGCCTGCTCGTTACGTTGATCTCTTCTCTATATGAGATTGTTTATTATAAAGGAGACTCACAAAAATGCCCCTTTTTTAATACCCTTTTCAAAAATGCCCCCTTTAGCTGTCTATTTTTAAAAATACCCCTTTTTATGTACAAAATGACTAAATTACCCTTCTTTTAATAAAAGATATCACAAATATATAAAGAAATATAACAAAATTAGGTCCACAAAATACAAAATATTTTTTGGCGGGAAAAGTGATCCCGCAATTTTTCCCGCCAAAACACTTGTAAAAACTTGTAAAACCTTTAAAATACCTTGTAAATTTTTTGTGGGAAAAGTGATTCCGCAATTTTTTTGGCGTTAAATTTTTGGCGGGAAAAATTTTCCCGCCAAAAATTTACAAGGTATTTTAAAGGTTTTTTACAAGGTATTTATAAGGTTTTACAATGTATTTTAAAAGGTTTTACAACGTATTTACAAGGTATTTATAAGATATTATAAGATTTTACAAGCTATTTTATAAGGTTTTTACAAGTTATAAGGTTTTACAAGTTTTTTATAAGGTTTTACAAGTTATAAATACCTTATAAAACCTTATAAGTACCTTGTAAAACCTTTTAAAATACATTGTAAAACCTTACAAAACACTTGTAAATACTCTGTAAAACCTTTAAAATACCTTGTAAATTTTTCCCGACAAAAATTTTCCCGCCAAAAAAAAAAATTGAGGAATCACTTTTCCCGCAAAAAAAATTTTTTGGCGGGAAAATTTTTTGGCGGGAAAAATTTTTACGGGAAAATTTTACAAGGTTTTTTAAAGGTTTTTACAAGTGTTTTGGCGGGAAAATTGCGGGATCACTTTTCCCGCCAAAAAATATTTTGTATTTTGTGGACCTAATTTTATTTCAAATAAGGGTAAAATGGTCATTAAAAACTAAAAGAGGGCAAACTTAAAAATGGACTCTCAAAGGGGGCATTTTTGAAAAGGGGTATTGAAAAAGGGGCATTTTTAACAATTTCTCTTTTTTATATGTGAAAAAGGCAAATACAATTCCGGGGAGAAAAGGAAAAATAGACTAAATAAAAATAAAAATCACCTTATTATATACATATTATTTGATCATAAGATAACTTTATACCTATCTCTACTTTTAAAAGGAAATTAACAAAACCTTAATCCTAATTTAAAAAGGAAAAACAACAAACGTCTAATACATATAAATAAAATACCAAAACCCCCTTTCAGTTTCCATCATCCCCTTTTCTCGATGGCTGCCATGTTCAATAGCGTTAAACTCTCCATGGGTGCCTTTTTCACGAGAATTTCTCAAGGTTTAGCAAGTAAGGACGAGGACTTAGCGATAGTTGCTAATTGGATCAATGGTTGCCTCACGACTTTGATGGGACTCGTGTCCACCATCAACAAGAAATCAACTGTTGATAAGGAAGAGATAATAGAACTTTGGTCAACGAAACATGTCGAAACGAGTCTATTGTTCCTATTCGCAGCATGTGTAGCAACTGCTATACTAGCCAACTTTTCTAGTAAGATTTCTTATAGTTCTTCTAATCTTCGGCAATTCACTCACTTTTTCTTATGATACAAATTTTCTAATCAAATTTTCCTTTGTTTCTTCAGGAAAAAGCAACTTCCGATTATATCAGTGGAGATCTATCGTGATTGGTGTGATCACCCTCTTGATTATGGCAGGGAATCGTATGAATCTTATGATGATTTGTACAACATTGGTGGCTCCCTTATTCACCATCGGCTGGAGTATATTCAAGATCGTAGGAGCAAAGGAAAAACCAGCTGCTGCTAGGTCGGATTCAACTGATGCCCCCTAGGGCACGAGAAAAGTTGAAAGTCAGACAAAATTGGATTTTAATTTTTCTTTTGTGTTTATTAGATATTATTAGCTATTTCGTCTGAGTTTTATTTTGATATTAAATTTATAACCTATGAAATTTAAGAGCACATTGATTAACAAGATCTCGACCGGTTTCTGATACATCTTTATATTGCAAAAAAAAAAAAAAAGAAAAAAAAACTTTTCTAGATTTTCAAGTCTCGTTAGAGAGCAAATTTCCACGTATCTTCAACCATCTTCAAACCAGATGCCACCTTTGCCGGCGATATGCTCCCATCGATTTCATAAAGATCAGCCATTGGTTCTTCCTGCTTCCAGCTCGCTCTCGTCGAATCTAAATCTGATGGCTTCTCTTCCTCTTTCTCTTTATTTGGAATATTTCTGGCCTTGGCATGGTTCAGCACTACCATCTGAGGCTGGTCTAGACAGAGCAAATAGAGAGCAGTCGCCTCTCAGTCGACCTTTACGTGTTCCCCAAGAAATATCCTTGGCTAGACCTTAATTATTCGGATGACCTCATCACAGAGCCAACCTGCAACGTAACTGACCAAGAAGTTCGGCCACACCAATTTTGCTGAGGGAAAGATTCAAGTTACCGAATTATAACTTCTATTTCAGGAGACATGCGACAAATAATCTAGAAAACTAAAAAGGTCTAGCTTTGATGAAATTCATAGAATGCTTGTGTCCGTTAGTCACAGTGCTTCAAATGGAAAACAGACTGAATGAACTACTTAGAGTACCAGTATATGTGCAATATAGGATAAAAGTATATCAAAAGGGTTACAGATTAAAAGGACCTTCATCCTCATAAACTAATGCACGTTAAAAAAACGTTTTATATTTCAATCATCGATTTTTCGTATCGGAATTCGTTTTACCCGTAAAATAATTAAAGACGACGATTTCTTTTCTAACGTAACTTAAATAACAAACACATATACATCTTTGTAAAAGAGTTGATGAAGATTTACAAAATTTAGATTGCTCGAAAACTAAGAAGATGTGTGTTTGGTAAATTTGAGAGGATGAAGATGATATCAGAAAATATATTTATAGAGAAATATTTTTGTAGGGTTCTGTTTAATTTTTGAAATTTGGATTGCCTTCAAAATTTGAAAAATTAATTTATTGTTGATTTTATGATAGATTTAGTACTTTTGAGAATTAATTTTATGAATGTAGTTTGAATTTATGAACCTAGGAAAATTTGTACTTACAAAAGTTATAAAAATATATTCTAATATATTAATTTACATGAATTATACGCTTACATGCTAGAGTTGTTAAATATATATATATATATATATATATATATATGTTAGTCTTTTTTTTGTCATCCGTAATTAATTATAAGCTCAAAAGAGCCATTCCTGAGGAATGTTGTTTACATAAGTGATGTGAGACGGTTCTGATATATATGTTAGTCTGGATTAAAAAATATAGACCTTAGATCAATTTAATATATTCTTTACATACACGAATTTTTTATGTATATATAGATAGAGATATGATGTTTGTATTACTGATGTTTAATGTTAATTAACGAAATAATTAGAATATCATGACACATTTGTAACTAATCTAGTAATATATAGACCATTAGTTTGCTCGATTTATGAAATAAAAAATGTCTGTTTGATTTTAAGTTTAAGCTTGGACGTAGCATGTCTTACATTTTAATATTAGATAATACAGATTGGTTATTTGTTATGCATATATAGAAAAAATGTAACATTTGTTATGTGTTTGCTAATATAGAAATAATAAAGTTTGTCTCGTATAGATTGTGTGTGTTTTTTAATTTTTAGTTAGAAATTCGTTTTTGATTAGTGGGATATATGGATATATGAGACTAATGGCAAATTCTGTAAATAGTCTAATAAACTTTGGGTAATTATCTAAATAGAAGTCAAATCATTGTATGAACGACACATCAACGTGACAATCTTGTTAATAACACATGATTGTAAGGTGTTTTTTAAAAAATGTTTCTCTATTAATATATAGGAGATTACTTTTAATTGTAACCAATAGGAAGAGGAGAGAAGTGAAACTAAAATTATTAAACAAACAAACAAATAATTAAATAATATAAAAATTAGTTTTTGTTAATTTATGTGCAAAACCCAAAACATCAAATTTAAGGAAACAGAGGGAGTATGAGATTGTATTTTAAAATAAAAATATAATTTGAGTAAAACGGAAAAAAAGAAAAGGAACGATTTTAGGAGAAAATGCAATATGGAGGTCGAAATAAAACAGGCAAACAAAAAGAAAAATTTAATACGTTAATTATTGCTTATTCCTCTTTAATTTTTTTTTTTCCTTTTTAAACTTTTTTTTTTTGTCCAACCTGACATGATATCCTTCTCAAACTTAACTACCTTATCACTGATAATTAAATTTGAAGGCCATGAATTTGAGACTTTCCTTCTCGGCTTAGTCTGGTTCTCTTGAATATATGTTGATTGACTTGTATACTCTTCTAATAGTTGCTCATATTCCATGTGCTCTCTTCTTTGATTTAGATGGTCTATAAGATCGAACAATTAAAATTAAGATATGTTCATGTATCAAAGAAGTGTGGAGTCTAATGAAAGTGCTATTGAATGTCACTAGGTATAAAATTCTGTTAAAGAAAAAATCAAGACGATATATAATATTTTGCAAACAAAACTAACCAATTAAAATAATAATAATAAATTTTAATTTTGTCTCAACGATTTAATTTTTCTCGTGTGGTTTAAACACTTTTTGAATCTTTAGCTCTATCTGGTATTTTCTGTAAATCTTTAACACCAACTGGTTTTTTGTTTTCGTTTGCGTTTTGGTAAACAACAGGATCACCAAAACAGATCACTGTCCAGACGATTCCAAAATAACACCAACAAATGGACCAATCTCACAATAATAGACCGCCGTTGATCGGACCGAAAATTAGTTTTTTCCACAAATGTTGGTCACAATTGGCGTTGTATACATGTCACGTAACACATCAACAAAAATCAGGCCATGAATGTTTGCAAGTTTTTAATGGTTTTTGGATTATAGTTTTTGTTTATGTATTTTGAGTTTTGGTTTAAGGTTTTTAGATATTGTATTAGAAGAAAAATTAAAAAAATAAAAAATGAATAGAAAAAGTTAAATCACGTTAAAAATGAGAAACTCGCAAAACATAGACTTTAAATTTTCTTTGAAAATTGATTTTTTTTATCAAAATATAGATTCTCTATTTTTTTAGGAAATCCATTTTTCATAATCTTGATTGGCTATAAAGTAAATTTTTGTAAAAACTAAAATCAAAAACAAATTTAAAATCTACAACCATTCAAGACCTCAATAATGCGGCAGCAATTTCGTTAATGTATTAAGCAATACAAATTAAATTTCAACGAACGAAGAAAACTTATAATATGTATGATTATTTGCTTATAATATCATTTTTTATATAAATTTTCTTAGTGTACAAAAAATGATTGAACATGAATTAACCAATTCTAAATTTATTCATTTAATATTTTTCTTAACAAGAAAAAACCTTCTTTATTCTTTTCTAATTTTTTTTCTTTACAATCATCAAGTGAAAATTGAGAATTGCCGTAAAAACTAAGAATTATAACAAAAAATTGAAAGGAAAATCTAAGAATTCAGTCGTAATACTTTATCCATTTTTTCGTTTCAGAATTTATGGAAATTTTTTGCTACTAATTGTTCTTTGTCATAACTATCAATATATATATTTATATATGTCCATATATTCATTAGCGAATATATCCATTTGAGAGATATTTCATTAGCTAATATTTTCCCTAGTTGATATGATACACCTAGAAATTAGGTAAGGTCTTAATTATTTATTCAAAAACTGTAGATAAATTTGTGCTGCTATTTCTACTAAAAATATTAAAGAAGAAGTTGACAAAAGAAAAAGAAAAAATTAAAGAAGAAAAAAAGAAAAAGAAAAAAGAAAATAAATTAATTGATCCACTGTCAAACCAAAAAAATTGAAAACCCTATATTGGTTGAATGGGAAAATCGATGGTCAGATTCGCAGAATTCGCCATTAGACTCTCTTCCGAGAATCCAACCAGACCCCACAGACCTTCTCCTCCTCTACGGAACAAAGTCTTCGTCAAGAAGACGACAGACACGACACACCTCGATTACTCCAATCTTGTTAAGCTGGAGAAGGCGGGATCGCACTCGGGTTCCAATCCCGCTCCGGCTTCGGGTTCGGATCCAATTAATCGGGTTCCCCTTGCTCAGGTCGTCGAGGATTGCGTCAGACGTTGGTTCCAGGATACGCTCAAGGAAGCCAAATCTGGTGACGTTGGTATGCAGGTTTTGGTTGGTCAGATGTATTGCAGCGGCTATGGAATCCCCAAAGATGAGAACAAGGTTCGCTTTTTCATGAATTTTCTGATTCAGTTTTGCTCTCATTTTTCTGGGTTTAGTTTGTTTTCTTAATGTTCTTCTCGAATTCATATAAAGGTTTGGTTTTTCGTCTCTGTATCTACATTGTATGCCTCTGATTAGGTTTTGTTGTGATTGGTCTACTAGAGTTTGAATTAGGGTTCTTAAAATGTATGTGGTTAGCTCTGATGTATGTGGTTAGCTCTGATTTGAAGATGTAATGGTGATTCTGATTTAGAATTCTGTTTGTGTGTGGTTTTGATTTGTAAAGGGTCGTGCTTGGATTAACAAAGCTTCAAGAACTAGATCATCAGCTTGGCAAGTGAGTGATAAGCCTCCAGGTAATAATATATGATAGACTTGTTTTTTTGCATCTTTTATTGAATTAGTGAAATGTTTTGTGTTTTATTTAGGGTTCTTGTTCTTCTAATTCCAGGTTATAATGCAAGCGATTCAGATTCCAATGATAAGAAAGATTGATGATCATCTTTCGAATGTTTGTATTGCCAGTGACTTTGATTTGTTAGTTTCTATCTCCTTTGTTTAATTCTACTTGATGTATTCAAATTTGAAGCTTTTGTATCATCCCAATGGTCAAAAAGTGGCCCTCAAGCTTTTTATTACCACGCAGTGAAGTAATTTAACTGTGAGTCTGTTGTAGCTGAATCATTGCATTACCAATAGATTTTGCCACGCTTTCTCTGGTTCTTTGTCCCCAGAAGTAGAATCAAACAGTTTGCAAAGAATGAATCTGGAATCTAGAATGTCACTTGACAATTTTTCTCCGAGGAATCTACATTCTAGTTCTAAAGATCATGTGCAATTAATTTATAAGTTTGGATGGAGTGAAAAAGGTAAAAGTTAAACTGAGACAAATGTTTGCATCTCTCTAATGATGGATTCTGTTCATTGATATCACCAACAATAATAAGTCCCTGAGTTTCACCATGATGTTGGTTTTTCTAACATTACATTGGAGTTGCTTGGTTCACCATCTTTCGAAAACTGTTACCATTAAGTTCTAAATTCTAATCCGATTCAAAATTCACAAAAACTTGAATCCTACCTAAACAAATACTAGCGAATATCCGACCCGAACTATATGATCTTCATGATAATATAATTGTTTTCTTAAAATTGTAGTGTGAAAAGGTTGAAAAAGTGAATATATCAAAAGAACGGTTGTAGAAAATGAAGGAAAAGAAAATTACTTTGGTCCTATTATCAAACGCGGCTAACTTAGTGGAGGCCAGTGAGGTTTTCTATTCACAAAAGTTTCCTTGACGCAAAGAATCCCATTCGTCATCTTCTTCTTCTTCTCTTTTTGTCATTTTATAATATTAAATCATGTATTTATATGTTGCTGCTACTTCTAGTTTCTCTACACAACTAGACCTTGTTTACACACATATACTCTGTTTTCCTCTGTTTCTCTACACGAAGAAGAAGTCTTTTTATTCCACAAAAGTTTCTGTGATGGCTAATGTAAGTAAGATCTTGTACATGGTTTGCTTTAATTTCATCTACCATGTTCTAACTGCACCGTTATCAAGAAAATAAACAACAAAAAGAGAGATCGTTGCAACTAGAGTGTTCTTGCAAATTATGCTTGATGCAATGTCTATGTTTATTGGATATCTGTGTTTGACTGTTTATGAATTAACAATTAACCAAAATGACAAAATATTCTCTATTGTCAGGTTGTGGAGCTGAAAGTGAATTTGCATTGCGACGAATGCATCAGGAAAATACTCAAAGCCATCAAGAAAATTGAAGGTAACAATTGTGTAATTTTTCTCCTCAAAGCAAATATACCATTTGTAAGATATTTATGGTTTATTTACAGGCTATTATGGTTCGTACTATCTCTAAATAATTATATTTGATGAAAATTACAGATATAGAGACATACGATGTGGACACACAGCTGAACAAAGTAACAGTCACAGGGAATGTAACAGAGGAACAAGTGATTAGGGTTCTTCAAAAGGTGAGGAAAGCTGCTGTTAAATGGGATCAAGACAATCAAACCCTCTTTGCCAACTAGAGTCTTTTTGCTTTCCTCAGATTTAGCAATAGTTAGGTCTATATGTATGCTCAATTGATCTTAAGCATCTGCTGTAGAATTCATGAGGATTTCGTATACACAGACAATAAAATGCGATTTAGACTAAATCTTCCTTCAGCATTTGATTTTCTAATATAGAGATCAAACCTTCGGGGGTGATGTTCATGAATTCAAATACAAATTTATTCAACAAAAAATGAAAGGAAGCAACTTTTCCGCTTCTATGAGTGTACAATTACAAATTGTCAATTGACCACATTTTGGAGAATGAAAAGTGAAGAAAGAATTGGATTCTTGTAAAATCAGGATATTTCCATGCTTTAGAACCTGTGCTCCAGCTTCTCTTGTTCTTTGAAGTACTGAGCATACCTGCGTTCATTTGCAAGAAACAAGATTCAGATATGAGTCTTTGAAACAATAACAACAATTAAGACTTGATAGTGACAAAATGAGTGTCAAAGTACAATATGGCACATGACAGGAAATTTATTTCTCAATCAAGATCTAAAGTTTCCTAAATAATTGCTATGAGAGCGAATGAGCGATGATAATCAAAGATAGGGAAGCTGAACATAATTTAACTCCTTGAGCATATATTTGAATTCCATGAATTACATAAACTGTTTCAAGTAAAAGAGCATCATCAAGCTAATATACTGACTATCTTTCTATCATCATCATCATGAATTCACTATCTCTATTTGGGGGGAGGTATACGTGGTTCAGATAATCAAATCTTATAATGTTGTCAAGCTAGCTAGCTACTTCTTTTGTCTTGACACTTGTATCCTTTAGTATTGGTTCAGCAGAAACAGTACTAAGCATCGAAATCGACACCAATCTATGAGAATTTGTCACAAAACAATAACCCTAAAACCATTTTTGCTGTCATGTCCAATAAAACCACAACCTAACTAAATCTACACATATCGCATCAGTCACAATCATCAGATCGAATTCCACACGATTGATCCATCAAATATGTTCGCTAATTGACTAGACCGAGAGAGAGAAAGAGAGAAACGTACGAGTAGGTTCCGACGACGGGAGCGACGAGGAGAATAGTGCTGATCCAATTCTCTGAGACCTTGTGGTGGATCTTCTCCGGAAGATCCTTCCATAGACCCGTCATGATCTTCTGCTGAAACGGCGATAACGCGTAAACCACCGCCTTCAATTTCACCGGCTGCTTTCCCATTTTCGTCGACCAATTCTCCGATTCCGACAATTGCAACAAGGAGACTTTTCAAGCCGGCTAATATGCATCTTCTCTGCCAACAAAACGCTGCCGTTTAATTATAAAGGCTTTTAATTTCAAACCCACGTAAGCCCAATGGACAGTAAATGGGCCTTTTCTCTATAAATTTGCAATAATCCACGTGGACGGTGGAGATGCTGCGATGCAGAGAGCGGTCTATGGTGAAGCTGTTTACATGAGATCATGACGTTAACACGGGAAACAGATTGCGTCAGAAGAAATCAATTCATCCGCAAATAAATAATACGTCTTTAATCCACGCGCCTCCTTCGTATCCCCACGCGCAGTCGTGTGTGATGGCTAATCCTCCAACGTTACCGATCTCAGACCATTCCGGTGGTGGTTCTCAATCTCAGCAAACCGTATCCACACCGGCGTTTCGCACGTTCCTCTCTCGCCTCTCATCGTCGATCCGTCAAAGCCTATCGCAGCGGCGTCCATGGTTAGAACTCGTAGATCGGAGCGCAATTTCACGGCCAGAATCTCTCACCGATGCGTATTCTCGGATCCGGAGGAATCTCCCTTACTTCAAGGTAAACTACGTGACGATCGTCTCCTTGGTGCTCGCGCTCTCGCTTCTCTCCCATCCATTCTCTCTTCTCGTTCTCCTATGCCTCTTCGGCGCTTGGATCTTCCTCTACCTTTTCCGTCCGTCAGATCAACCTCTGGTCATTCTCGGCCGTACGTTCTCAGATCGTGAGACGCTTGGAGTTTTGGTGATTTTGACAATCGTCGTCGTCTTCTTGACCAGCGTTGGATCTTTATTGACCTCTGCTTTGATGATTGGTTTCGGAATCGTATGCTTACACGGCGCATTTAGAGTTCCGGAGGATCTTTTCTTGGATGATCAAGAACCTGCCAACACCGGATTATTGTCTTTCCTTAGCGGAGCCGCCACCTCCGCCGCAGTAGCCGCCGCATCAACTCCTGCGTCAGGCCGTGTCTAAGTTTAAGGACTCTTCTCTGTAGACAACAAACTCAATTTCTACGATTCTTTATAGTTTTTTCTAAACATTGCATATGTGATTATGTGAGGGAAATTGTAGAATTTGATCTTCTTGGTTTTGACCTCCATTGATTCAAACATGTAATTGATTCAACAATTGATCATAGGCACATTACTCTCGATTTGGATTTCTATGGCGTTAGGTGTGGTGTGACAAAGATTATTGAATGGTTGATTGATTACTACTCGTATTATTAAGCTTTGAGACTAACTGTGTTATCCGAACATCATTAGTGTGGTTAGATGTTGGTGATTCCACTCTGAGTTTCATTTTCAATTCAATTGACTCTGAATTTAAAATTCAGCCCAGTGTCTATCTCAAATTGGTTTGGCAAACGAAATGAAACAAACTGATTGTTTATTCGGGAAATGTTTGTAAATTACGGATCCATCTTCAACAGAATGTTTCTGCACTGAGATACATTTGTTTCTGACGTGTAGATACTTTTGATTTTGGTTATGAAAAATGACAAGTGGGATAATATCGAGACAAAGGAGAAACGTAACAAAGAAGTTTATCGTGAATGTTTGTTAAAATGCATGATGAAAGATTTGAATATTACTTCTAGAGAAAAAGGTGATTTTGTTATTGGCAGTTAGTTTATTGTTTGAACGTTACACTCTAGTACAGTGCATATGCTATGTTGGTTAAGATTTTTTTGCTAAGCTATGTTGGTTAAGATAAAAACAAACAACAGCAACAACAAAAAAAAATCATTAGACCAATATGACCCATTTCATCCGTGTATTTGAATATGGCATTTGAGTTAACAGTTCCACTTTGACTTTAGGTTTTGCATCTAGATGTTGTTTGTATTCCAAATTCATCTTTAGAGTTTGAGATAGGCCTGGGCATTTTCTCCGAAACCCGAAAACCCGACCCGACCCGACCCGACCCGAAAAAAGAGGTTCGGGTACGGTTTCGGTTAGACTCTATAAACCGAACGGATAATATGATTGATTTGCAACGGGTTCGGTTTCGGTTCGGGTGTAAACCGAAACCCGATCGGTTAACCGGCCATTTATTGTATACATATATATATATATATATGTGTAGTTAAGAGAAGTAATCATATATTCATAAACCCAAAAATATCGAGACTTGAGAGCACATATCTCCTGTTTCCGATATTCTCTCCGATTTTCTAGATTGCTTTTGCCGTTTCCACTTCTCCACTCCATTGATTCGTTTCTCTTCTTAAAGCCTATATAAACCCCAAATTGGCAAACTGGAAACCCTAAATCCCCTAAACGATTCACGAGAAAGAGCTGCTAAACCTACTCTATCAGCTTCTTCGACAAATCAATCGTCGGTTTGTGTTTCTCCTTTCTCGTATTCTCTTATTCAAACTTTGTAATTCTATCATTTCTGTGTTTAATTTATTTTGTATTTCAGTTTCTTATGCATCTTAGATTGATAGAGCTTTGTAATTATGTCATTTATGGGTTTCAGTTTCTTATGTTTAACAATAGGTTTGTGAATTGTGACTTTGTGTGAATGTGAAGTTGTGTAATTGTGAAGTATGTAGCCGTAGGAATCTGTAGTATGTAGCCGTAGGAATGTAGCTCTAGGAATGTAGCTCTAGGAATCTGTAGTATGTAGCCGTAGGAATCTGTTCCATTTTCTCGATTATGTTGCTCACTTATCAATCTATCTTCTCTGTTCTCTAATTGAGACAACGTAGATGCATCATTTTTATTGAGAATTTGAGATTTTCGTTTTGTTTAGTGTCATTAGTCTCATTTGAAATTGTTTAACTTTTTGATTTTTGAGACTGAGCTTGAATTTAACTTTTACTTGTGATATTCTTTGATTGTTGCATTGCAGATGGGTTCTTCTTCACCTCCTCAACGACAACAAGATGAATATCAGAATCAGAATGATGATGAATCAGAGAGAAGTGAAGATGATGTGGTGACTTGGTGAAAATGTCTTATGTTCTTGTTTTGTATTAAGTTGTTATCTTATTCTTTAACATGCTTTTTATCTCTACAGATCCTTCGACATTGGGATTTTGTAGCTTCTGGATGAAGACTCATTAAGCTTGTATGGAAGTGAAGTGATTCTGGATTGATTTTCTTTCTCTCTCTCTAAACTCTTAGCTCTTATGCTCTCTCCCTCTTTGGTACTTTGCATTCTGGTTTTTGAATGTTGGAATTGTTTCTAGGTTGTTTTTCTTTTTTACTCTAAACTCCTTATTCTCTCTTTGTTTGGATTTGAATTCTGGTTGTTCTAATACTCTTATGCTATGCATTTCTTCTTTAGTTTTGAATTGATTTTTGAATTCTATTTCTGTTATTTGTTCTTAAATGTTCGGGTATTTCGGGTTTTGTATGGTTTACTCGGGTTAGTCTGGTTTAAAAACCGACCCGAATTGTGTTTCGGTTCTACATTGGGTTCTATATCAAAATTGAAAACCGACCCAAAATCGATTGAACCCGAACCGAAACCGATCCGAAAACCAGTCGGTTCCTAAACATCCTAACCCGAATTACCCGAAAACCGAATTACCCGACCCGAACCGACCCGAAAACCCGAATGCCCAACCTTAGTTTGAGATATGAATCTTGATTTTGATTTATATATTAAAAATGAATGGATTTAGACCTACATATATTATTATGCAATAGTTAATTTTCTTGTAAATAATTAATGTTGTGAAGTTATTGAGAGATTCGTCTAATGCAAATATAAAACTCTTTATCCCATTTTTTTGAGTTTGGATAACCAATGGAAGATATAACAAATTAAAATGATTAATCTGGTTAAACACAATTAAATGAGTGATATACATGTGAGTCACAATGATTTTCCCGCCAAAAACGTAAATCTGTTATTTTCCCGCCAAAAACATAAATTCGTGATTTTCCAGCCAAAAACGTAAATCAGTGATTATTATTATTTTCTTTTTATTGTTAATTTATTTTAATTATTAATTTATTTATTACATTAATAGGTCAACCCATTTAACCATCTAACCCATCAAATTAAATGAGTTCATGGGTTGGCTCAACTCATTTGAGTTGAGTCAACCCATGAACTCATTTAACTTCAAACTCATTGTGTAATGAGTTGAGTTGGGTTGGATTAACCATTTTGACACCCCTACATGTGACCTTGGTATTATTTTTTTTTTGTTTGTTAAAGAGTAACCCTTGGTATTAAATTGCCAAAATATTTTTACAGATGATGATTAATGATCTTTGTATTTGATAAGACAGAGAAACTTGGGATTTAAGGAAGAAGCTTGAGACACAAGCACTAGAATGTAGACGTGATATGACATGACTTGAGTTCAATTCAACTAAACTTTGTTGAAATTATGCTAAGTGTTCGGTGCAACTACTTACCTCAACTAAGTCTTTGCTCCCTTTCAATGTCTCAAGTTCTTCTCAATTTTGGATGCGCAAAAAGAACTAGTTAGATTTTTCAAGTTTATAACTTATGGCGTGGAATATCAAGAAACATGATTACGCAATATAAAAAGTAGTCATAAAACTAATTATGTTTTCATGGGTTAATATTTTTTAAAATATCAACTGTTGTTAATAACTAAAACAAACTTTAAAGGGATACTAGATATTATCATTTGGAGGTTAGGTGTTTAATCTAATTTCTAAATCTACGTCATATTTTTGAAAATGCATGGTATCATGCTCCGATGTCCAATAACATTTTTAACATATATTTTCTGCCAACATTTTTGAGGTTGATCAACTCTTAAAATAGAAGAAAACTAAACCATGGTTTTCCATTTGAAGTGTGAAAGGAAGCAAGAAAACATATCCAACGAACTGATAAAGACACTTAAATATATTGGTGACCGGTAATTTAAATTTTCTTTTGAATAATCAGCACCTAATTCTTCCAACCCTAAATAATTTAGTAAAAAAATTAACTTCCATTTAATTTAACTATAAAAGGGATCTTTCCCTCTTCATTATTCTCTCAAACCCTTCTCTCATATCTAATCACCTTATAAACCTTAATCTCAAAAATTTCATAAGCTCAAAGCTTAAACACATTTGATGACGACTGTCCACACATTCTCTATTTTATTGTTCCTTTGTTCCCTTTTCTCGGCTTCATTGATTATCGCCAAAGTCCAACACCATGATTTTGTCGTATGTTGCATGTTCATATTGGTTAAAACTTAATTAAATTCATTAACAACTAATTGTCATTACTTATAATTGTGTGTGTGCAATCATTTAGATACAAGAGACGCCGGTGAAGAGGCTGTGCAAGACCCGTAACGCCATCACCGTCAACGGAATGTTTCCGGGGCCTACGCTCGAAGTCAACAACGGCGATACTCTTGAAGTCAAAGTGCATAACCGTGCTCGTTACAATATCACCATCCATTGGTACATTTTAAATACATCAATTTACTTTTTAAAACCTTTTAGAGAAAATACCATTATGTTACTTTTTTCCAAAAATAATTGAACCTTTAACCAACTCAAAAATACCACACAAAAAAAGTGAATAAGCTTCTTCACACTATAGTTTTTTTTTTTTTGGGTCACGGTATATCACATAATTAAGTTTTTTCGTATATGATAAAAATTGAAAAACAGGCATGGGGTGAGGCAGATAAGAACTGGATGGGCTGATGGGCCTGAATTCGTAACCCAATGCCCGATCCGACCCGGAAAGAGCTACACGTACCGTTTCACTATCCAAGGCCAAGAAGGGACATTATGGTGGCACGCTCACAGCTCCTGGCTACGAGCCACTGTCTACGGCGCACTCATCATCCACCCAACCCCTGGTTCCTCTTTTCCTTTCCCTAAACCAGACCGCCAAACCGCACTCATGCTCGGTATACACCATACCATACCGGATTCTTTTCCTTATTTGATTAACAAATTTGTTGAAATCTCTAAATCTAAATTAACAAACAAAAACTCAAAAATCAGGGGAATGGTGGAATGCAAATCCGGTTGATATCATTAACCAAGCTACTCGAACCGGAGCTGCTCCGAATATATCCGACGCTTATACCATCAATGGCCAACCCGGTGATCTCTATAAATGCTCAACCAAAGGTAAACCAAAAAAAAAAAAAACTATACAGTAGTATAACATAATTTAAGTGTCTGAATATTAAAGTATCTGAAATAATTTGTAAAATGCAGAGACTGTTGTAGTACCGATAAATTCAGGGGAAACAAATCTCGTACGAGTGATCAACGCAGCTTTAAACCAACCGCTATTTTTCACGGTGGCTAACCACAAGCTCACTGTGGTTGGAGCCGACGCGTCTTACCTCAAACCATTCGCCACAAAGGTCCTTATGTTAGGTCCAGGCCAAACTACTGACGTACTTCTAACCGCCGACCAACCGCCAAAACGCTATTACATAGCAGCAAGAGCTTATCAAAGCGCCCAAAACGCACCGTTCGATAACACCACAACTACTGCCATCCTCCAATACAAGAAAACGAGGGCCACTTCTAAACCAATCGTGCCGGTTTTGCCTGCCTTCAACGACACCAACACCGTGACGTCTTTCTCAAGGAAGTTCAAATCTCTCCGAAACGTCGTCGTACCGAAAACAATCGACGATAATTTGTTCTTCACTATCGGTTTAGGTCTCGATAATTGTCCCAAGAATTTCCCTAAAAACCGGTGCCAAGGCTTAAACGGAACCCGGTTTACTGCATCGATGAACAACGTTTCGTTTGTTCTACCGTCGAATTTCTCGCTCTTGCAAGCACATTCCAACGGCATTCCCGGCGTTTTCACAACGGATTTTCCGTCTAAACCGCCGGTTAAATTCGATTATACCGGAAATAACATAAGCCGGGCTTTGTTTCAGCCGGTTAAGGGTACTAAACTGTACAAACTCAAGTATGGATCTCGAGTTCAGGTTGTTTTACAGGATACGAACATTGTTACGTCGGAGAATCACCCGATTCATCTTCATGGTCACGATTTCTACATTGTTGGTGAAGGGTTTGGTAACTTTAATCCCAAGAAAGATACTTCTAAGTTTAATCTTGTTAATCCTCCACTTAGAAACACTGTGGCTGTTCCTGTTAATGGATGGGCTGTTATAAGATTCGTGGCAGATAATCCAGGTAATGCAAAAGTTTATATATCTTTAGTAATAGTTACATTTGATTTGATTTGGGAAAATAATATAATGTTGGTTTGAAACAGGGGTTTGGTTGATGCATTGTCACTTAGATGTTCATATAAAGTGGGGTTTGGCTATGGCGTTCTTGGTCGACAATGGTGTCGGAGAATTGGAGACTCTTGAAGCTCCTCCTCACGATCTACCTATTTGCTAGTTTCAATATAAAAGAGGCACTTCTAATAGAAGAATATTCAGATTTTGGTATTGTACTGGATTAAATCTATTCATGGAAGATAAATGTCCTTGTCAGTTTGCGTAGATAAATTGTTGTATGTGTTCAATGTCAATCATAGACTATATAGTATATTGTTTCTGTCTTCTCAATTGTTGGAGCTATGAGAAAATTGATATTGAGCACAATGTTGTTATTTGCCAAACAAACAAAAAAGAGAGAGAGAATTTTTTCAGCTTAATGGGCTTTTTCATTCATCTGTAACGAAAGAATGGGCTTTAAAAGTTATCAAAAGATTTTAAGGGCCATGGGGTAGGAGTACGTAGGCAATTGCGTGAGCTTACGTTAGCGATGGCGTTAGAGACACGTAGTGGATGAAGTGGCCATGGTTTGCAAAGGACACATGAGGCACATGCAAAGGCTTATGACTGCTACTTTGCTTACAACTTGCAATTCCCAATATTATTATATGGTAATGAACCCTGTTACTCTGCTCGAAGCTAAGCCACCCAAGTTTGAGCTTCACCATTTGACACGTCTCTACCTAGTTAAACTAATATTTAATGTTCTAGTCATTTCTGGCTGACATTTTCTCGAATTCGTATTTATGAATTCGTTCTAGGCTGGAATGCATTAATTTTACAATGTTAACCATAATCTTCTTTTAATATCTGTAATCAATAATAAAAATCGCATTTAGAAAGTTTTGTATAGGGGAAATAATGAGCATATTTGTAAAAACTTGAAAAGACAAGCAATAATAAACAGCTGAAGATTCGTACTACATCATCCAATTACACATCTAGTGACTAGTAGTAGTAAAAATGTCATGTTAATTTTGATTAATTACCACATATAATGTGATAAATAAAGCCTTTAAAAGTGGCAATAAAACCAAGAAAAATCGAGAAAGAGCATGAGACAATTTTGTGTTGTCAGAGTTAATAAACAAAATGAAGATATTTTAAATTTGTTAATATTAAAATAATGAAGTAGTTCCTGATCTTATCCATAAATCAATTAAAAAAGGTTTAAATTTTACTTTTCCGTATAAACAGCGTGTTTCGAGAAGATTCGGGACACTCGGCGATTGGGAAAGAAGTCTTAGCCCTGATATTCGAATCAAAAACTGACACGTCACATTGATCACAAACAGAATAATAAAATAATATTAGAAATATCTAGAGAAGGTTATAAATATTCCTCGATACTTGTCCTCCTTAGATATTTTGAGTTCTGCTAAAGCTGTCTGATAAAAAGAGTAAGGGAGAAGAAACCAACCACTAGAGAAAAACTCGAAAAAGCTACACACAAGAAGAAGAAAAGATACGCGGAAGAACACTAAACACGAAAGCGATTTATCTACTCGAAGGAAGAGACTTTGGTTTTCAGGTTTCGTCTCCTATAGGTACGCTGATTTCTGACTTCTTACAAATTTATGATCAATTTCTCTGATTTGGTCTCGAAAAGGGCTTCATTTATTGTTAATTGGTGATTCTTGGCTTATTCTTCGTCTTTAGATTTTCGATTATGCCTTTTAGGTGTTCTTAATTTAAGTTCAAGGAGTTTTAAATACGTCTGATTTTGTACCAATATAAGTTCTTTTGTCTTATGTTTCAACTAGTGTTCTGATATTGAAGTGTTGTTGTTGTATTGTAGATTTTGTTGTTTCTGGGAAGGAGATGGCAGTTTATGATCAGAGTGGAGATATAAACAGAACCCAACTTGATACATCGAGGAAAAGGAAATCTAGAAGTAGAGCTGATGGTACCACTGTGGCTGAGAGGTTGAAGAGATGGAAAGAGTACAATGAGAATGTTGAAGAAATTTCTACCAAGAAAAGGAAAGTACCTGCCAAAGGGTCCAAGAAGGGTTGTATGAAAGGTAAAGGAGGACCAGAGAACGGTCGATGTAGTTTCCGAGGAGTTAGGCAGAGGATTTGGGGTAAATGGGTTGCTGAGATCAGAGAGCCGAATCGAGGTAGTAGGCTTTGGCTTGGTACTTTCCCTACTGCTGAAGAAGCTGCTTCTGCTTATGATGAGGCGGCTAAAGCTATGTATGGTCCTTTGGCTCGTCTTAATTTCCCTCGGTCTGATGGCTCTGAGGTTACGAGTACGTCGAGTCAGTCTGAGGTGTGTACGGTTGAGACTCCTGGTTGTGTTCATGTGAAAACAGAGGATGCAGATTGTGAATCTAAACCCATGTTCTGTGAAGCTAAGCCGATGTATCGTCTGGAGAATGGTGCAGAAGAGATGAAGAGGGCTGTTAAGGCGGATAAGGATTGGCTGAGTGAGTTTGAACATAATTATTGGAGGGATGTTCTGAAAGAGAAAGAGAAACAGAAGGAGCAAGAGATTGTAGAAACCTGTCAGCAACAGGAACAGCAGGATTCGCTATCTGTTACTGACTATGGTTGGCCCAATGATCTGGATCAGAGTCACTTGGATTCTTCAGATATGTTTGATGTCGATGAGCTACTACGTGACATAAATGGCGACGACGTGTTTACAGGCTTAAATCAGGACCAGTACCCGGGGAACAATGTTACCAACGGTTCATACAGGCTTGAGAGTCAACAAGGCGGATTTGATCCGCTGCAAAGCCTCAACTACGGTTACGGATTACCTCCGTTTCAGTTCGAGGCAAAGGATGGTAATGGAGTTTTCGATGACTTGAGTTACTTGGATCTGGAGAACTAAACTAGACAATATGAAGCTTTTCGGATTTGTTATTTGCCTTAATCCCACAATGACTGTTGATTCTCTATTTCTGAGTTTTAGTGATATAGAGAACTTCAGAACACTTTTTTTTTTTTTGTTATAAAGGTGAAGTGTATATATATATCGAAACAGCAATATGACAATAGAGAAGACAACTATAGTTTGTTAGTCTGCTTCTCTTAAGTTGTTGTTCTTTAGTTTTTCTTATGTTTTGTAACAACAGGAATGAATAAATAATACACACTTGTGAATCATCTTTACGGGCCTTAATGCGTCTCAAATCGTAAGAGGATAATCCCAAGCCAACGATGATCTCTCACAATCTTCTCATTTCTCACGTTGAGACAGTATTAATTTTATTTAGAGCATTACCAAAAAGTATCTTGCTGATATTTTGAGTTTTGAGAATATTGTTAGAAAAAAGAATATTGCCTCAAATTTGTAAGAGACAGAAAGAAACAGAGTAGAGCCATATTGGTCAGTGAAGTTTGTTGTAGTTATTAACTGCAAGAGAAGTTTCTCGGATCATTTAGAGTTGCAGTAAGAAACTTGGTTAAGGATTGACAACTAATAACTTAAAAAACCTCATCATGGATTCAATCCAGGCTCAGCTTTCTTGCCGTTGGGGTTTACTTAGGCATAACTCTTCAACAATGAGCCCATCTAGGTCAGGCGTTTGCTTCTCAACACTAGTAGAAATGGCTTTACTCTCCATTGTAGCTTCCTCACTTAACTTCCTTTTCTTCTTAGAAAATTTATCTGGGGTCTTGGAGCTTTCACTTCTGCAATAATACCAAAGAAAAAGCATTGAAATTTATAGGATGGGAAATTTTTTGAAAGAACCATTGTACCCTCATAAAGCCATCTTAAAAAAAAAAAAAAAAAAAAAAAAACACAATTTACCTGCTTTTTGAAATGGCTGCATCACTGGTACTCTGGTAGAGCTATGGGATTCTAAAATAAACCACAAAAGTTTTACTTTGTTGTAAGGAATATAATCAAGAATCAAGAATCAAATTGATGTACCTGGGAGAGTAGGGGGTGGCCGTTGGCGGTGCTGGCGTCTGTGGACAGTGGGTATTCTAGGTTTAGCAGTCACCCGAACAGCTAATTTGTGTCCTCCCATGTGGCTCCCATTAAGTTCAGTCACCTTATCTGCTACGTCTTTTCCGTAAATCATCGCTCCAGCTGAGCTGAAAAAATCAACAAAGCAACAAGTCTGTAGTCGTTACACTAATTTAATAACTTGAAAGTTGGGAAAAACGGGAGAAAGAAGCCACAAACCCCTCGATAATATAGAATTCTTTGAGATATCCATATGAAGAGAAATGATCACTCAAAGCAGTCTTGAGATCAGTCTTACTAAGCGAAGTGTCATATCCTTCAACTCTTACCAGAACCATACTGCAATTATAGGATATTGCAGGAGATGATATACATTGTTATTATCAACACATATATATATTAAGATACAAATCTTGTTTTGAAAAAAGGAAAAGAATTAAGTGTTTACTCGTTTGCATCTTCGTCATACGGATAAGCCTCAACAGAGACATTCCTTCCTCCCATGTCACTTCCGTTAAGTTGCAACGCCTTATCTACTGCGCCTTCTCCCACAAAATAAATATAACCACATCTGTGAAACAAAAACAATTTTTAGTTAGCAATATTTTAACTTGAGCTGATGAGCTGGAAAAAAAAATGGAGGAAGAAGAAGCCACAAAACCTCTGGAGAATCTTATAATTCTTTGCGGAGTCTAAGGGAATAGAAACATCCGTGATCATTCCACATCGAGAGAAGTGATTTTTCAACGCCGTCGCGACATCATCAAGAGGAAGACCAGTGTCATATCCCGTAACAATAATCCTCCCAGCGTCACTGCAATAGTTTGATTATACTATATATCAACGTGACAATTGAAGACATGCATCGATCATCTTACACATACCAAAATTTCAATTTACCTGAATTTTGGAATGATTCTTTCCCTACCCTTCCGTTTCAATCCCTATAAAGTACAAGAGATCTAATCAGAAACCCTACTAACTAACTTGAAGTTTTTGTGAAGACACTATTAATTGAGAAATAGAGGTTAAAGAGTGAATAAGAAAATTACTTTGTCGTCGTCCATGTAGAAGTTGAGAAGAGCCGCTTACTAGGTTTTCTCGAGAGCCGATAATTGTTTTTTATTTATTTCATTTTTATCGTTAAGTCTGATTTAGGGCATCCTTTCGTATAGTATATTTTAAGAACAACCGATTGGGCCTTGAATTTTAAACTTAAGTTAAACAACTTATTAAAACCCACAGTTTGTGGTATCTTGTTTTTTTTGGTGTGATGGGTTTTAAAATCCAATATTAACAAGTCTTACAAATTACGATTATATTTTCATTTTTTTATGGTTTATCTTCATTGAGACGGTAACAAATATTATTTTCTAGTAGATCACTCTTTTTAAAATGTTTTAATTCAAACAAGCTTAATTGTGGAATTTATTATGAGATAGCTGTAGTTTAGAATATAGAGTCAAATCGATTATTTTAAACTTTTTCACATGTACCATTATTTTTTTTTTTTAAATCAGGTATTACCAAATATAACATTGTTTTTTTACTAGTAATCAAGTTTGTAAAACAAAGCAAGGAGGACTACTGTATTTAGTGGGATTACTGAATGCATTCTTCTATAATTTAATTAACTCTCCAACTACATTTAATTATCATAGTCGATTAGAAAACATAGTAATTGCTGATAAAAAAGAAAAAAAAAAGTTATTGCATGCCTATACAATTCGAGTGTACATGGAACTTGATGTAGAGTAACATACCCATGTCGCTATTATATTATTTAGTGAAAAAAATTACAAAGTCGCGATGCAACAACCTTTGTACTATATGATGAGAATATATATAAAAATGGGCAACAAGAACAAAAGAAATAGAGGAAAAAGGAAAGGATAATCTTCCACCTAAACTAAGTCCAAAGAAGATTGCAAGTTGCAACATCCACTTGCATCGTCCGGCGTAAGCTCTTTGATAAGGTCTCACCTTCCTCCAACTTTCTCTCTCCATACATAACCACATTTACATACACCATTTACACATATATGACAAACCCATCAACATCTGTGCATGCACGTGTGCTCATGCATGTATGTAGTTTTAACTTTGCCATGACCATGTCTATCTTAAATTTTATGATTGGGGTTTAACACAATCAATTAATCAAATATGACACCACATTTCATATGCGCGTTGTAGTCGTGTGATATTCAAAAATTCTGATTTCAAATATTGTACATGTTATTTCTTATGACTTCCACATTGGTAATATTAAAATCAACATGTGTATATAATATGTAAATTTTAACAATAACAGTAAAATATTTTACTATAACTAATGACTGATTTTTTAAAAATGATAACTAAGATCAATTTTATTTTTTATCATCTAGGAACAATTTATTAACTGGATTCATGTCTAGTTAAACCTTGTAGATTCTAAAATATAAATTTATCAAGATGGAAATTAAAATGAGGAATCTATAGAATATAATTGATTTTGGTAATATTTTCAAGATAATGAAGGAGGCGTCTGAGGAAAAAAATCATGGGGGCATAAGATGGTACAATGTATCATACATGGTCACACACAGACACACATGTACATGATACAAATGCGTCTATATACACAACTGTGTCTATATATACATACAAACACAAAGCCTTCACATCCCCAGCTATCTCTATCCATCTATCTACAAATATATATTTTTAAAAAAACACACAATGTTCATATCTTATTATATTGTTATTATTATAAAATAAAAGATGATCATACTTTTTAAATTTCTCAAACAAAACCAACTTGACAACCGACAGCGAACAAGATCAAAAAGCTAGCTCTCTTCTTTTCTCATCAAACTTAATTCTCTCTCGATCGCAATATATACGATTCCATAAATTCTCCCAAAAACAAATTCAGAGATTCCAGAGAGAGACCGAGAGGAGAGATCATGAGGTCACCGGTGCAACTCCAACACGGCTCAGACGCCACAAACGGCTTCCACACGCTGCAGCCTCGCGATCAGAACGATGGTCCGATCAGGAGAGTGTGTCTCACGCGCGGTATGCATGTCCCGGAGCACGTTGCGATGCACCACACACATGACGTTGGTCCGGACCAGTGTTGCTCTTCGGTGGTGCAGATGATACACGCGCCGCCGGAGTCTGTGTGGGCTCTCGTGCGACGGTTTGATAACCCGAAGGTTTACAAGAACTTCATCAGACAGTGCCGTATCGTCCAAGGCGATGGACTACACGTCGGCGATCTCCGGGAGGTCATGGTGGTCTCTGGACTTCCGGCGGTCTCGAGCACCGAGAGACTCGAGATCTTGGACGAGGAGCGTCACGTGATAAGCTTTAGTGTCGTTGGTGGGGACCACAGGCTCAAGAACTACCGATCGGTGACGACACTACACGCGGCGGACGATGAAGGGACCGTCGTGGTGGAGTCTTACATCGTCGATGTGCCGCCGGGAAACACGGAGGAGGAAACTCTAAGCTTCGTTGATACTATTGTCCGGTGCAACCTTCAGTCTCTGGCTAGAAGTACCAACCGGCAATAATCTCAACTTTTATTATATAATTGCAATTATGTATCTAATTTTTTTTTGTACTTATTTCTTTTAGATGTTCGATCTTTACAAGGAAGAAAATTTCGAGTACCTTTTCTTTCTTTTTTAAAATAGATATATTGGTTTAGAAAGAATTGGAATTTAATGGGATTTCTTTGGGAGATTTATGTTGGAAAGTAAATATATATCGAGATATTGTTGGGTTTTTTTTCACAAAAAGATGGATATGGAGGGTGGTAGTAGTGCTAGTACTGGTACATAAAACATTTTAAGGTGAATCTGTTAAATGAATTAATTTAATCCATTTTTTGTTTTGTACATGGTATCATAATTTGTGACATTGTTTAATTTCTTGTTTTTTTAAATGTTAATCTTAACCGTTTTGTGGTTTGTAAATGAATATTTGATGCATCGGTTGTTAATGATAGACTTATTAATATATTTCTTCATAGTATGTAACCTTACTATTAAGTTTTTTTTTTTTTTTTTTGGGTTGATCCTTTTGTCCAAATATTTTAGATAGACAATATAATACAAAGCCGATATTCTAGAACTAAAAATCAATTAGAATCAAGCCGATAACTGTTCCAAATGTATATACTGTAATACCAGAGAGTACTTGAAAGTACAGAAATAATAAAACCCCTATTCGTTTAAGTTTATGATTTATCGTCATCATGGATCATATTAAGGGAATCATCAAATTACCTTTAGTAGTGAGTGTAATAGTATATTCGAATTATCTGTCTATTACACATAATATTCTCGTAACAATTTTTTAAAAGGTATATGTAGATGGAAGGAACTGTGTGTAACTTATTAAGGAGGAAGATCCAAATTCGAAGAAAGGAGAATTTGACCTAGCTGAGAAAAGCAACAACAAGAGTACTTTGCTTTCAGACAAGGAAACGACAAAAGGAGAAGTGAGTGTCTCAGCAAACAGGCCAAAGCCCAACAACATTAAAATGGTCTGGAAGCCCAAAACACTTTCTTCCCCAAAGTCCAGTGAGCCTAAAACACTGCAACGGTCACCTGCAATCCAACAACAAAACAAAGATAAGATTGATGCCAAGGAAACTACAAGGAAGCTGCCTAAAAGCAAAAGTATCTCCAGCTGTCAAAGTCAAGATATTATCTTGACTAATAGATTCAAATGTTTGGAGGATGAGGATCAAATGTTAACCTAATCCTCTTAATATATATATGAGACTGATGTAATCAAAACAGTAGAGTGAGAGCAATAATAATGAAAAGTATTTCAGTCTCCTTCAATATTTATCTCTAAAGCTTACTTTCTTTATGGTATCAGAGCCAGGTTAATCAAACCATGGATCTCTATAATTATCCTAAACTAAATATCTCAAACTGTGTTACCCTAAAATTAACACAAAAGAACTATATCTCTTGGAAATCACAGTTTGAATCCTTTTTGTCGGGTCAAGACTTACTTGGATTTGTGAATGGGTCATCTCCTGCTCCTGCTGCAACGCTTCAAGTCCCTTAAGTTGGTGGAATGGCTCTGACAGTTCCAAATCCGGATTACAGTGAATGGTTTAGAGCAGATCAGATTGTGCGAGCTTGGCTTCTGGGGTCACTCTCTGAAGAAATCTTGGCTGAAGTAACTGGCACAACAACAGCAAAGGAACTCTGGTCAGCTCTTGCAAAGCACTTCAACAAGGTATCATCTTCTCGCCTGTTTGAGCTACAAAGCAAACTACAAACATCAGAAAAACAAGATAGACCTATGTCTGAGTACCTTAGGGATATCAAGAATGTCTGTGAGCAACTTGCTTCTATAGGGAATCCTGTATCAGAAAAAATGAAGATTTTTGCAGCTCTAAAAGGACTAGGTAGGGAATATGAACCCATTAAGGTATCTATTGAAGGAATGATAGATCTTTCACCTGGTCCAACTTTTGAGGATGTTGCATCTAGACTCAAAACATATGCTGATAGGCTCTCAAGCTATAATGTTGGTGTGGAGATCTCACCTCATATGGCCTTTTACACAAGTGATTCTGGTAGAGGAAGAGGAAACTCTTACGGCAGATCTGGTGGATCCCGTGGAAGAGGAGGCTATTACACTACAAAAGGAAGAGGCTTCCCTCAGCAAATAACTCAGAGTTCCTCCTCTACTGGCTCCTACAACACAGAGAATAAAGTGGTCTGTCAAATCTGTGGGAAACCAGGACATCCAGCTCTAAAGTGTTGGCATAGATTCAACAACAGTTACCAGTATGAGGAGTTACCTGCTGCTTTAGCTGCAATGAGGATTACTGATGTCACTGACCAGAATGGACATGAATGGGTTGGAGACAGTGGTGCAACAGCTCACATCACCAATTCTCCTCAAAACCTGCAACAGTCACAGTCATATGGAGGGTCAGACTCAATCATGGTGGGAAATGGAGAGTTCTTACCCATAACACACACTGGTTCAACAAGTATATCAGCAAGCTCAGGTACTCTACCACTTAACGATGTGTTAGTATGTCCTAATATAGAGAAATCACTGCTATCAATCTCTAAACTTACCAGTGATTATCCATGCTCCATTAACTTTGATTGTGATACTGTTCGTGTGATTGATAAGGCCACAAAGAGAATGCTGGTACAGGGAAACAACATTAATGGTCTATATGTTCTGAAGGACAAGCCTATTTACTCCTTCTACTCAAATCGTCAAGTGTCTGCTCCTGAAGATGTTTGGCATATGAGATTGGGGCATCCAAATTCAGAAGTCCTTCAGCATCTGTCAAAGATCAAAGCAGTTATCATCAATAAAAGCTCCAAAGGCATCTGTGAAGCATGTCAATTTGGGAAAAGTTCAAGACTTCCTTTTGCTTCTTCTTGCACTACTACTTCCAGACCCTTGCAAAGAATACACTGTGATTTGTGGGGACCTGCACCAATAATGTCAGTGCAAGGATTCAAATACTATGTTATTTTTGTAGACAACTACTCTCGTTTTTGCTGGTTTTATCCACTCAAGTTAAAGTCAGATTTCATGTCAGTCTTTCTTATCTTTCAAGCACTAGTGGAAAATTAGTTTCAACACAAAATTGGGAGTTTTCAATGTGATGGTGGGGGTGAGTTCACAAGCAATAAGTTCACAAATCACCTACAACAACATGGGATTCAACAGTTAATTTCTTGCCCTCATACACCACAACAAAATGGGCTAGCAGAGAGAAAACATAGGCACCTGATAGAGCTTGGTTTAGCTATGATCTGTCACAGCAGAGTTCCTCTCAAGTTTTGGGTTGAAGCCTTTTATACAGCCAACTTTCTCATCAACCTGCTGCCTACATCAACTCTGGCAGAAAACAAGAGTCCCTTTGAAGTTCTGAATGGACAACAACCAGAGTATACGTCATTAAGAACATTTGGATGCGCCTGTTATCCCACTTTAAGAGACTATGCTCAACACAAGTTTGATCCAAGGTCATTGAAGTGTGTATTTCTAGGCTACAATGAGAAATACAAAGGTTATAGATGCTTACTCGTGGCATCAGGGAGAGTGTACATCAGCCGCCATGTCCTGTTTGATGAACAAGACTTTCCTTTTCACAGGTCTGCACCAACCCCGCAAATGGTCTCAACACCTCTCCTTGCTGCCTGGTCCAAGAGTATTCCCATACCACCACCTGACAAGGCACCTGATCAACAAGATCTCAACAAGTCAGAATGCTCACTCATTACTCCTATATCTGGTAATCTTATAAAACCACCAGTTACCTCTGAAGCATCCGTGGATCCTTTACAGCTTGAGGCACAAACTATTGTGAGAGATGAGGAGAATTCTGGGTGTACGGCAGGCTTTGATCCTGATCCTATAGGCAACAGTTCTCCTTCATCTTCTCATAGTAGTGACAGTGCAGCTACTATGTCCCCAACACTCAGCAATTCACCTACAACAGAAACAGAACAATATGAGTCTGCTCAACAACAACAAGAAACAAATGCAACAACAAGTCAAGTTATACAAGAAGCAGCTCCAGTACATCCCATGATCACAAGGTCTAAAGCAGGTATCAGAAAACCTAATCCCAGATATGTGCTGTTCACCTCCAGAGTAACATATCCAGAGCCAAAAACTGTTACTGCTGCCCTTAAAGATTCTGGATGGAATGGAGCCATGAATGAGGAGTATGATAACTGCCAAGAAGCAGGAACATGGTCCCTAATCCCTAGAACACCAGACATGCACATTCTGGGTTGTAAATGGGTATTCCGTACAAAGCTCAATGCAGATGGAACACTAGATAAACTCAAGGCAAGATTGGTGGCCAAGGGCTTTGATCAAGAAGAGGGTATTGATTATCTTGAAACCTACAGCCCTGTAGTAAGAACACCTACAGTAAGATCAGTTCTACATCTTGCTACTATTATGGGTTGGGAAATAAAACAAATGGATGTTAAAAATGCATTCTTACATGGAGATCTTACTGAAACTGTGTACATGACACAACCTGCCGGCTTCATTGATCCTGCACATCCAGATTATGTTTGTCATCTGCACAAGTCACTGTATGGTCTAAAACAATCACCACGAGCATGGTTTGATAAGTTTAGCACTTATCTTTTGGAGTTTGGCTTCGTCTGCAGCATGTCAGACCCTTCTCTGTTCATCTACACCAAAGGTAAAGCTATTATTCTGCTATTACTATATGTGGATGATATGGCTATAACAGGGAATAGTTTAGAAGTCTTAACTCAGCTGCTGGTAGAACTCAACAAACGGTTCCGCATGAAAGATCTGGGAAAGCTAAGTTACTTTCTAGGCATACAGATGCAATATCATTCAGGGGGACTTTTCTTGTCTCAGCAAAAGTATGCTGAAGACTTACTTGCCATAGCTGGGATGTTAGATTGCGCCCCAATGCCTACTCCACTGCCGCTGCAACCCCATAAGGTATCAGATCAAGATCAACAGTTTGAAAATCCAACATATTTCAGAAGTTTGGCAGGCAAATTATAGTACCTCACGCTGACAAGGCCAGACATTCAATTTGCGGTGAACTTCGTGTGCCAGAAGATGCACACGCCTACCGTCTCCGACTTTCATCTCCTGAAAAGAATTCTCCGATATATTAAAGGAACAATCACAATGGGAATTTCTTTCGACAAAGATACTGACTGTACACTCCGAGCTTACAGTGATAGCGACTATGGGGGCTGTCTCTCCACTAGAAGATCTACAGGTGGTTTTTGTACCTTTTTGGGAACGAATTTTATCTCCTGGCAATCTCAAAAACAGCCAACGGTAGCAAAAAGCTC